TTCTAAGCGTTCATACAATCATAGCTTGGTTGATTTTTTTTTTCAAGCTTACCATATGCTTTTTGAAAGTTTATGTAAACCACAATTGAGTTTATTTTTCTGGTTTACTATCTCAGTGGTCAAGCTGCTGTTATTACTCCCCGCCAGGTGATATCTGGTTTAGGATCTCGTCGTGTAAAGGCAGTTGCGGCAGCTAAGCACCACACTGTTATTGCTACGGAAGGCGGGGATGTATACACATGGGGTTCCAATAGAGGTAAAACACTTTAACAGCTTCCTATTTTCCAGTGAATGGATCTTTAGTGCTCTAGTATACTCAAGTTTTAGTTTTGACCTCCCAGTTTCTGAGTTAATCTGAATTAGATGGAGTTATATCCAATCTATTTGGGTAGCCTTATGGTCTTTTATCTTAGAGTCTGATGTTGTTTGTGATGCTCTTGTAGAGGGTCAGCTTGGTTATACCTCCGTGGATACTCAGGCAACTCCCCGAAAAGTGACTTCATTGAAGGCGAAGATTGTAGCTGTTTCTGCAGCAAACAAACATACCGCCGTAGTTTCTGAGTGCGGTGAAGTTTTCACTTGGGGATGCAACAGGGAAGGTCAGCTTGGTTATGGAACCTCCAACTCAGCATCAAACTATTCTCCCAGATTGGTTGATTACTTGAAAGGAAAAGTTTTCACGGCTATTGCATCTTCAAAATATCACACTCTAGTGTTGCGAAACGATGGAGAGGTAAAATTTCATACTACATGTTAAGTTATACTTTACTATAATGTCAGTGTGTAAAGTTTATAGAATGTATGAACATGTGGAAAATCTTATCTAGAATATGAGAACTCAATTTGAATTGAAATTTATTTTCTTTAGTATTTCGTTCTTTCTTTTTTGACCAGGTGTACACCTGGGGTCATCGGCTGGTGACTCCAAGACGTATTATCATTTCCCGGAATTTAAAGAAAGCTGGGAACACACTATTGAATTTTCATCGAAGGAGACCTCTTCGATTGACTGCAATAGCTGCGGGAATGGTACACAGTTTGGCTCTAGCAGAAGATGGTGCATTGTTTTATTGGGTTTCCTCTGACTCCAATTTTAGATGCCAACAGGTTGGATTCAACTTCTCTTGTTATCTTAAAAGAACTAAATAACTCAATATCACTCGCATAGTAATAATCAGAATATGTTTAATTCTGATTCTTGCAGTTGCATTCGCTCCACGGTAAAACAGTAGTGAGCATTTCAGCGGGTAAATACTGGGCGTCTGCTGTTACTAGTACAGGTGAAGTTTACATGTGGGATGGGAAGGATGGTAAAGATATGCCACCGTCTCTTTCTCGCCTCCACAACTTGAAAAGGGCAACCACAGTTGCTGTTGGCGAAACACATCTTCTAGTTGTGGGTTCTCTGTATCATCCTGCCTATGCTCCTACTGTGCTTAAGAAGTCTCAGACTGTGCAAGCGGATGAAAGTAGGGAAGAAGAAAATGAAGAATTGGATGAGGGTTTTATGTTTGATGATGTGGAATCTGTGAATGTATTACAATCCGTGCAACACGATAATCCAAAGGAGAGGACAGTACCCAGCTTAAAAAGTTTATGCGAGAAGGTGGCAGCGGAGTGTATTGTAGAGCCACGAAATGCTATTCAACTGCTTGAAATTGCGGATTCGCTTGGAGCAGAGGACCTCAAGAAGTACTGTGAGGTAATGCAAACCTTCCTTTGTGATGATTGCACACTAAACCGCAGAGATAGAAAACAAAGAGAAGTTTATGTTCAGTGTTCTCTTTTTATTTTCTGGCTGATGAGTACCTTACACGTGTGTTCTTCTGCAGGACATTGTGATCCGAAACCTTGACTTTATTTTGACGGTTTCTCCCCAATCAATTGCAAATACATCACCTGATGTTCTTGCCAATCTTGAGAAATTACTGGATGACAGATCATCTGAAGCATGGAGCTCCCGACCACTTCCAACACCAACAGCCACATTTCCAGTTGTGATAGATAGTGAAGAGGAGGAAAGTGAGAGCGACATTGTAAGAACTCGTGACAACCATGTGAAACCCTTTTCCAGTATTGCTGACGGAAGTACTCGAATGGATTCATTCTTGCAACCAGAAGATGAGCTCACTTTACGCAATTCCAAAGAAGTCCGAGCTTTGAGGAAAAAGTTGCAACAAATTGAGATCCTTGCAGCAAAACAATCCAGAGGACAACATCTTGATGGTCAGCAAATAGCAAAACTTCAAAAGAAACTAGATATCGAAAGTTCACTGGTAGAACTTGGTATTCCTGTTGAAGAGTCTCCAGAGGCAAAATCATCAACAGCTTTACCACTAGATGAAAAAGCCAACAAGAATGGAAAAAAGAAGAAAAAGGGGAAACAGAGATTTTTACAGGTTGAGACATACCCTGATTTTGGTGAAGTTAAAGTGGAAATAGATACAATGCAGGATAAAGAAATTGATGAAATTTCTGAAGCTATCAAGCCAAAGGTTAGTTTCGGTACCAGTTTCTAATGATAAAACGTCCTTTGTTGAGGCTTGATAAAAAATTCATCTGCTCTTTGTACTTATTCTACTAGGATGGCAAAACCATGCTGGATATGACGATGATTAGTGGGTTCCCCAAAGAATCAGACTTTGTCTCTCTCTCGCAGAAGAAAGATAATCCACCCAATTCGCCGAGAAGCAAGAAACTTGCAACAGCAGCTAACAAGAAGAAGAACAGAAAGGGTGGGCTTTCCATGTTCTTGACTGGTGCTCTTGATGATATTCCTAAACCTGTTGTTGCTCCTCCACCAAAACCTAAGATTGAAGGTCCTGTGTGGGGTGGAGCTAAGGTTTCTAAAGGATTATCTTCCCTCCGGGATATTCAAGATGAACAAAGCAAGACCCAGCCTCATGAACCTGTTAGGACTACTAGGTCAGGCGATGATTCTTCTGGTAAAACTGAAGGCAAGATATTACTGAGTTCCTTCTTGACATCGAAGCCGATTCCAATGGAACCAGCCAAAAGTTTGCAGCAGTCTGATGTGGAAAAAGGAACTCCTCCTTGGGCTTCCTCTGAAACTCCTCGTAACCTGTCCCGACCTTCTCTTAGAGATATCCAGATGCAGGAGGTACGTTGTCCTCAGTTCGAAGTATGCTTGTCTTGTTGCATCATAGTTAGTGTTTGAAAGCTCATCTTTCTCTCGATGTCTTTTTCTTGTCTAATGCAGGTGAAGAAGCAACAGTCTCTGTCCCACAGTCCAAAGACAAAAACATCAGGCTTCACAGTCGCAATCGGGCAAGGATCTCCATCAGATTCGCCTGGAACAAATCGCTGGTTCAAACCAGAGATAGATGCTCCATCAGCAATACGATCAATCCAGATAGAAGAAAAAGCCATGAAGGATCTGCGACGCTTCTACAGCAGCGTGAAGGTAGTCAGAAACCAGCCTTGATGATGTGAGTGAATGAGACATTACTTTTCAAGAGCTCTCATTCTCAAAACTCGAAAAGTGTTGTTGTAATTGTACAGATGATGTCTCCACTGTACATTGGGTCTCCTCTTACCTGGTCAGCCATTTTTTTTTTTTCTTTCAATTTGTTAGTCTTTGGTAGTAGCTGTCAAAGGAATACCCATGCTTATGTACATCACTGGTGTACACGAAGCTCTTTAGTAGTCTTCACAAGCCATTTTAGATGTACATATTTCGTAATAATAAGAAAACGCTTAGATGATTATTTCAATAATATTTGCTTGTGTAAATCTAAAACATTGACTTAACAAAGCCAGAAGTGTAGGTGGTGTAAAGTGCAAATGTTTCCTAAGAAGATAGAAAGACACAGAGTCACTTTGATTCCATCCCGGAGCTTCTCCAGTTTGCTCCCCTGCATATCGAATTTTCACAAGATATTCAGGACGAAACCCGGAAGGCATGCATTGCAAAGGGACAACATGTATATACAAATGACTTCTTGTTAATGAATTTAACTTCATATATATGCTGGATCTTATGTGCTTTCAAAAGTTGTCTATCTTCTGTAGTCACAATAATCCTAGTTCCTTTACCAAAGCATTTAGTTGTTCTAGCTTAACGACATCGTCAAGATTCAAGAACAACAAGGACTTTCAGGAACCTTAACCTATCTTCAGCTGTACGTACATCTGGAGCTGCTTGAGCCAAGTTTAAAAAGGCTCGAAAGATTTGCAAACTTAGGAAAAAACAGAGTCAATGAAGAGAGTAATTAAACAAAAGAAATCACAAGTTTATTTTATTGTTTATATACAGCAAGTCGATGATTTTGAATGAAAATATACAATGAACATAATGGGCTACGAGAACAACATCATAAACGGATCCATCGTGAGTAGGAATATCTCGGTCTTGAGCCCAACCAGTTCCTTCACAAAAAGAGACGGTGAGAGATTCATTCCAAGGAGGAGGAGAGTGCGTCAATGGAAACTGACAAAAGATTGTCTCTCGCCGCCATTGTTTCCGACGTTAAGGTTTCAGGGATTGTAACTTCTTCGTTCACAATGCAAACGACGGCTCTAGCGGATGGCGGCGGCGACATCCGCCATTGTTTCCGACTCCAATCTTCGGCTCGATTGTTCATCACGTTTGGTTTTCTCATCGTGGAATCGGGTATGTCTATCCTCTCCTTTTCAATTCGCTTCCATTAATGATCTCACCACTGACAATTGCCACCGTCAAGTTTTCTCCGACTATGACCTCTAAAAAAATCAATCTCGAATTCCCTAATCTCTTTGAATGATTTTGCTTTTCGTCACCTAGTATTGACGTTTGGTCTCTTTTTTTTTTTTTTTGATAACAAATCAACCAAAAACGTAAGTCACGGTTTGGGAATTAGAATTGATTTTGGTTCTGTTGAAATTAGAATTTATTCGGTTCCGTTTGTATTGGTTGTGAGAAACGAAAACAAAAAAAGTCAGGCACGCGAGGCTTTTTAAAAAAGGAGCGAGTGTGTTTCAAAACAGGCCATTTGGTGGGCGTGAACGGAGACACGCGCTCAACTCGCGAGTGGTGAGAGTGGGCGTGAAATCGCGCGATGGGTGAGAGAGGGGTGTGACATGGAGCGATCTGATTGGCTAATATAATGAAAATAGTAGAGATGTAGCTCCTACCTTCCTCCTCTCATAATAACTTTTATTATTACTTCTTCTCTTTTCGTCTTCTATCTTTGTGAATAAACATGCTATGAGATGATTACAAAAAAAAACTTTTAGACAAAATTTTGTCTAGTTTATATTATTTAGTCAGCTTGAGAATGAAATTAAGATTTCTTCAATCTGAAAGTTGGTGTTTTTGGATACAATTGAGAGTCTTATTTTTTTTGGTAAAACAATTGAGAGTCTTCCATGAATTTACTTTGATGTCTCTTCTTCCATGCAAGTTCGAATTGTAGGATACAAAAAAAAATCACAAAATTTGTCAACTTGACCAAAACCACTTGGAAGATGATTGTCTGTGTTCTATTATGGAGTTGGACATTAGCTTAATGACATTATGGAGTTGTTCCTCTTGTTTTTAACCCAAAATTGGTCTCTCCCCAATGTACAATCTTCTGAGTTTTTTTTGTCAAAAGTTGCTCACCTTAATCTGTGAATCAGTGAGATTAATCAAGCTTTTTCTCAAGGGGATGCTGCAATTATCATGCTCTCTGGTCAACTTGCTGATGGTTTTCTCATTTAAAGGTTTGTTCTTACTCCTGTTATCTTCTGCAGCTCTTTTGTCTGCTCTCAGAATCGTGTTTTCAGTGGTGGAGTCACTTATTCTGGTATCGAACCTCGCAGAGCATCTAAGTTCTGCCAACTGCTTTTGAAAGTGCCAGCCTTTCTTCTATCAGGTGATTCGTCCTTTAATTCATGCCAACTTTTTCATTTTCCAGGTTTAAGGGTTCAGTTTCTCGTGACTTGATCGAATTACTTGCTTCTTGCTGAGTCTTTTGGCGCCAACTTGCTTCTTTCTTGACCAAACAATGTTTTGGCTCTCTATGTTCTCCAAGGCTTTTGCTTTTCTTGCTGGTATGTGATTAGATGAAGCTGACATCTCTCTATTTCTCTAACCATGTGTCTTGTTTTTCTACAGTGGATTGAATCTTTGATTGATTGGATAGATCTTTCTGAATCAAAGGCTGAAGCATCTCTTCAATCTTTTAATGAATGAAGCCAATGAGGCGCTGATTAGTGCTTTTCTGGTTTTGTTGAGAGCTAAAGGAGAGACCTTTGAAGAATTAAGTAGAATCTGAGACAAAGTATAAATGTAACATCGAATATTATACAGCATGAGGTGATTACTGAGTAGACATGACTTGAACTTTACAACTCTTGTTTTGTCAGATTGTGGGGTTGGCCAAGGCCATGATGAAGCATGCTAGGAAATTGGATGGTCTAGTCGATGTAGTGGACATTGTTGGAACAGGTGGTGATGGAGCTTACACAGTTAACATATCCACTGGATCGTACTTGCCGCAGCATGTGGTGGAAAAGTTGCAAAGGTACACACATGAAAACTTGTTAAAGCATAGGTATATGAAGTCAGTAGTTTTTATGTACACACTGTAGTGGTAATGACCTCCCCTATATTTTTTGATACAATCTTAATTTGGATATTTTGCAGCAAGAAAATCGTTCGAGTTCTTCTGCTTGTGGTAGCGCGGATGTATTAGAGGCGCTAGGTGTGGTGATTCACTTAGAGCCAGAGATGCGTATCATATATACAATCCAAAGAAGTGTTATTCTTAGTTGGATATGATTTATGAACTTGCACTATCGGTAAAGGGAATCTAGAGCTGGTGGTAACACTGTCTTGAAACAGTACACCCATATCCCTCATTTTGTCGAAAGATAGATTTTGTGCTAGTTCTATGATTCAACTTATTTGTATGGTTATTTGTTGATTGCAGGGAGTTAAAAGATGTGTTGAAGAATAAGGAATTGGTTTTGTGATGTCCCCAAAGTATCAACCAGCTATGAAGATCGTTGGCCCTGTCAGGAATATAAACTGTTTTCAATATATTGGGACCTCTGCTTAATCCCTCTAGTGTTTCTTATGCAGTCGTCGTTGTTTATCATGAAAATCTGGTACATTGCTTTCATTCACAGCTCATCAATGATTCTTTTCAATGTATAATAAGTTTCTCATCAGGAAACAGACATTTCCTTTCAACAATGCTCGTATGGTATGTAGGTTCTGAAGATATCATTGGTGTTTCACTCTTATGGCTTAGACGAAATGAGTCCTCTAGGGAAAGTTTCTCTATACATCCAAAATTTGATAATTTCTTGGCGTCTCCATCATTTGACCATACAAGGCCTTTATGAAAACAAGAGGAGGGTTAGTTTATGATGCTACCCCAGAAAAGAAGGAAAAGTTTTCATTTGATCCATGTAAGCTTTCTGAGCACAAGATTTAGTTCCAAAGTGACCTTGCGGATTTAGGTAGTAAGCTTATTCCTGTGCTATTTTTTTTACAGTGGACTTGGGGATTCCTCGTTGCACTCTGGAGGATTTGAGAAGTGGAGATCCAGAGTACAATGTGGATGTATTGAGACGTGTGCTATCAGAGGAGACCGGGTCCATAGCCGATGCATTGGTACGTTATTCCGGTTCAACATATTCTTCCTAATCGAAAAATATCAAAAGTCTTATGAGCTCATTGTCACATGTTATATTTGTTTCACATCCTATATGCGGCTGCAGCTCTTGTGGACAGCAGTCGTGTTCAGACTCTAGCTGAAGGAATTTTCTTGGCCCGTGAAGTACAGTCATCTGGGAAAAGCTATCAAGACACTTGATTCATGGATTCAAACCTCTAATTCAGCATTCAAATCTCGGTGACCGACTTAACTTTTATACACATTGGTTTTGTAGATGAATGTAATGGACCTAATGGTCCCTGTATGTGATATTAGGTTTCCTTTTATAGCAAAAAAGCTTTGAAAGCAGCTACTTGACTGTTTCGTTTGATTCTGCAGTCCCAAATTAAAGAGTTTGAATAGCAATCTGTCAACAAAGAGATTTACCTCTCTTTTTTGTTGTTTTAAAAAGAACATAAAATATAAACGAAATCTCAACCGTTGACTCGAATCGTACGTGTCTTAACAATCTCATCTTTGTGCTCTGCTTTATACGGTGACGAAGCTCCCTTGTCTCTCTCTTATTGATTTTTATAGGATAATCAAAAAGAACAAAAAAAAAGAAGGAAGAGAACGAAAAAGATCTGGGTTTATTACAAAACCAGGTTTGTTTTCTTTCTAATTGTGGCAATTTCTTTTTCATGGAATTTGGAATTTTGTTGATTGTTTGACAAGTTTCCTTATGCTTTTATAGATCTTTTGCTCTGTTCCAGTTCTCCGACATGAACGACCTCTTAAAGGTTTGTCTTATCTTTTCCTTCAAACATTTCTATGTTTTTCTTTGGACCTTAACGTGATCACAGCGATTTCTGCTCTAATCCAAGCAATGTTTCCATGCATCTTTATTAATTTCTGTCTAAATTTTGAAATTAGAAACGCGGAATCTTAGGGTTTAATTTGCTTGTGTGACAAGATTTCTCCGAAATGACGTTTCTTTAGTTTGACATTTAATCCGAGAAAACCCATGATGAAGATTGCTCCTGTGAGATTCAAAAATCGTTTATAGAAGAAAAATGATCAAATAAATGTGGAGGTTTATGTTGGATTTAGTGGGATAAATCAAAAGATCAAACGTTGTGAAGCTTATAAAGTTTCTAAGATGATGTGACAGATGTTTTGATTGGACAGGGTTCGTTAGAGTTCTCCAGGGATCGCTCTAATAGAAGCGATCTTGAGTCAGGACATGGCCCAGGTAACTCTGGAGATCTCGGGCTCTCTGGTTTCTTCAAAAAGGTAAAGCTTTTTATCCCTCTCCAACTCTTCTCAACCAGTTTCAAATCTCTATGTGTATTAAGATCATATTAACCATTTAGGTCCAAGAAATCGAAAAGCAATATGAGAAGCTTGATAAGCATCTCAACAAGCTTCAGGGGGCACATGAGGAGACTAAAGCCGTCACTAAGGCTCCTGCGATGAAATGTAAACCAAAACGAGTTCGAATTGAAAACTCGAAATCAAGTTCTTTATCGAAGATTAGATGAACTAAAACTTGATTCCTCTGTTTTTCTATTCTGCAGCAATCAAACAGAGGATGGAGAGAGATGTTGATGAAGTGGGAAGAATTTCTCGTTTCATCAAAGGAAAGATCGAGGAACTGGACCGAGAGGTTAGGCTTAGATGAATACATTGTTTGTTGCATCTGTTTCTATGATCTGGTCATCTTATTTAAGACTCGGATTGATATCTTCAGAATCTGGAGAACCGGACTAAACCGGGTTGTGGGAAAGGAACAGGTGTAGACAGAACAAGAACAGCCACAACTATGTGAGTTTTTAGCCTATTAAAACTCAAGATGTCTATATACAGTATCTTTCTTTTAGTCTTCCTTAAGGCTCTTTTCTTTGGCAGTGCGGTGAAGAAGAAATTTAAGGACAAGATATCTGAATTCCAAGTAAGTTTAAAGAAGGGCTTTAGCAAATTCTGAAAAGCAAAATCTCTCTTAGAAAGTTGTCTTAGCTCTTATCTTTGTTATCTGCAGACTCTAAGACAGAACATTCAACAAGAATACAGAGAAGTTGTAGAGAGGCGTGTGTTTACAGGTTTGAATTAACAATCTGTCTGAAGATTCAACTGTTCCATTAGTGATCTTCTAAGAGCTAACTGTATATGTTTTTCTGATTCTTGACAATTTGTTAGTGACTGGCCAACGAGCTGATGAAGAGGCAAGTTATTATAACTCTGATTTTACTGATTAGAACATATTGGAATAGTTCATGATAGTCAATTTTTGGGTGTGTAGACAGTTGATAGATTGATTGAAACTGGAGACAGTGAGCAAATTTTCCAGAAAGCAATCAGGGAGCAAGGACGAGGACAGGTTGGTGACCTATGTTCCGGCACTCATCTGATTACCTGTGCAACAAGACAACTATAACGTGCTGTTTCTGCTGGCTCTGTGCAGATAATGGATACACTGGCTGAGATTCAGGAACGCCATGACGCTGTCAGAGATTTAGAGAAGAAACTCCTTGACCTGCAACAGGTAAACCTCGATCCGATTTACCAAAAACTCTCAACAATTCAGTTTGATTCATCATTGATTCTTCCCTTTTATGTTTCCGGTTAGGTGTTTCTCGATATGGCCGTGCTGGTGGATGCACAGGGAGAGATGTTAGACAACATAGAGAATATGGTAACAATCTCTTCAGTACCTGTTTAAATCTCTAAGCTTAGTTCTCTTCAAAATCCTTTCTTACTCTGTTTCTGTTCTAACAGGTCTCAAGTGCTGTGGATCATGTTCAATCCGGAAACAATCACCTAACAAAGGCAGTAAAAAGCCAGAAAAGTTCAAGGAAATGGATGTGCATTGCCATCCTTATCCTACTTATCATCATCATCATTACTGTTATCTCTGTTCTCAAACCATGGACACAGAAAAATGGTGCCTAAGGTTCTATTCTCTCTGCCCTGCTTCTGGGGCTTCTGTATACAACAGTATATACGTGTATCATTGCATCAAATACTATTGACCTTCCACTATCACTATAAAAATGATGTATTCTTTTGATCGGATCAATGAATTAACTATTTTACAGATGCCAAAGTCGAAGACCATTTCAGTGAACATCTCGTCCTAACGAATATGAATATGAACCAGGAGACAGCAAGTGTATATTAATATTCTGTTGAAATATACCTTTATCTTTTATATCTGTAGTGTGTCAAAACAAATCCAGAAAAAACTATTGGAGAAAAAGGGATAAAAGAATCTGAATATGAACCTTAATCAGATTTACAATGATGGGAAAAAGAAGAGCAAAAGATACCTCCAGCTTCACATTTGCTTCAAGGGAAGACCTCAGAGAAGGATGAAGCATAACGGACATCCTTTGCTGCATCAGTTGTCCGTCCTTCGATGCATAAGGGCGTCCGGGGGCAATACCGATATCTTTGAGAAGGTTTGATGTATAAAGAGTATGCAACTAACTTGCGAGGAGCTACTAACAAAAGAATAACACTAAAAGCTTATTCTCAGAAAGGGAAAAAAAAAAGCCGGGAACTGTAAATAAAAAAAAAACCTCCGTATGTTTGCTTCTTCGCCTTTCCTGAAAGAATCTGAGAAAAATCAAATGGCACCTCACAACAGAATTGGCATAGTTGCCACGCTAGTCATTAGGATCCCATTCTTCATCTTGGTCAAAAGCTGAAGCTACCTTACTTTTTGCAAATTCTTCTTCAGTTTCTGACTGTTCAGCGAGAAGGTCATGTTCATAATCAGGCTGATCACCATCGTCAGTTTTACTCTTTTCCACTCCCGCTGATTTTATCCATTTAGGGCATTCATCCTCACCTCCATAGAGAAATCTACCATCATCACTCCGTATTTGCCTGGAATCCTCAAGGGCCGAGGTTCTGCATGAGCATTCAGGAAGTGGATGCGAAAGGAACGACCTAGGTTTTGACAACATAGACTGCCTGATAAGCCCACTTTCACCCAAACTCGAGTTAAGATGTTTCCTCACACGAAGTGTCCAGTTACGGTTGGGATGGTACATGTCCTCACGAGTAATGTTGAAAAGTTCTTGAATAACTTTCCTGTTTGAGCAAATCAGTGAACAGTTAATGAATTTGCAAAAGAGAGATTCCATAAAAGCTAATGAATTTGCAAAAGAGAGATTCCATAAAAGCTAGTAACTCATAAGATGCATGTATCAGCTAAATTTACGGATTAATGAACCCAAAAGAATAAGAAGATTATAGGCATAACAAGTGTGCATCAACCTAACTATGAGGAAGGACGCTAGATGCAGTCAGTAATTTTCAAACAATAATTCTGCTTACCTGTCCAGTCTATATGTTCGTGAAGAGGGTCTTTCATAGAGCCTCTGACCCATCACCAAACTTGAAAAATCTGGCCACCCACTACCATCGTTGTTGAAACCAGGGAAAAACACATCAGCTTCTACAGAAACAGCAAAATCGAGGGCATCCCACAGTAACCTGTGTGCTTGATTCCTAAGATCCATAGGTGAAGGGCTTGGTTCTGTGTCATTCTCTGTCAGCCAACCATACCATCCTTCTTTTTCGTGCTGGTAGATAGGTCTATCTGGAGGAGGAGGTAGAGGTCGAGGTCGAGGACCTGCCTTGTTCCACTCTTCTTTGAGTTGCTTATCGCTTTTTCGAGGAGGCATTTTAAATGTATTCTCTGGAAGAGGTGTCTCAGGACCAACCAATTCTGATAATTCCTCCGTGCTGCATAAAGCAGTCCGATCCACTAAATTAGGGAACATGGCACGCAGAGGGATCAAAACCCGTTGGCCGCCAAACATTTCAGAACCAGCTAAGTATATGATCGCTTTTTGAGAATAACCCAATGCTTTCAAAAGAATTCCAACCTGCAAAATTTCAATATCAATTAATTCTTGGCATCATAAAGCCAATTTAGTTCCATCAGAACAGTAGCAAGTAAGCAATCCAATTGGTGCTTGAAAACAGTGTATCACATGGGAATTACATGCCAACGTAGAAAATTTAGATAAATATTTAGCTTCGTCAGAATTCAAGCACATATGGGCCACATGTTTCCAAGGCAGTTTCAGCTTTCAAGAGACACCACGAATGCAGACATAAAGAGTACCGAGATATAATTATACACCCATATAAGCATTATTTGAGAGAAGCTCCGAGTACCTCTTCTGGCATGAGAGGACATAAGCCATTGTCCCTGCGCAAGCGTGAGTCTACAATAAGTTCTTCTAAAATAAACTTCTGCTTAATCATCTGAGCCCGCCGATATTGGATGAGTTCACTGTGAATATCCTTTGAGGATTGAAATAATAAGTAGAGTCAGAAACTACTTCCCCATGTAACTCAATCACAAAGGGTGCACAGGATAATAACGTAGCTGAAATAAACAGTTTGTTCTATCAAAATATACAGATTGAGAAGGTCAAAAACTTTTACCTGGAAAAGCTCAGCACAACCATGATATGCCAATTTCTCCCTTACTAAGCCAGGATGATAAGCTAAGAAAGGTTGACCTGATTTACGTAACCTAGAAAAGGGAAATTATGTACCTCAATCATGTCAGGGATGCACAGTTCTCAGGGGTAGATAGACAAAACCATGACACATATGTACAGTCATTCTAGTTACGTAAATACACATCAAGATCCCTAGCTAATTTAAGAAAATGGCAACCCCTGAACTTACTTATTATAGTTCTCAGCTAGATAAATCACTATTAGAGAAACTACAAGCTTAGTATCTAATGTTCTTCTCCCTCTTAGTAATCCTATATCCTGTATTCGTCCCTTTCGTCAATGAAATTTTCAATTGCAAGTATCACAAATACCTGTCAACCATCTTCTTGCCCAGCACCTGGATTTCTGAACGAAGCTGGAGGGCATGGAAGGCAACTCTACACCTTAATCTTTGAAGTTCAGGCATTGAAGCGGGCAAAGTTGACTGAAAACAAGACAGCTTCGTTCAGGATAAAATACCTTGTTTAACTAGTCCCACAACTTCTTATTACATTTAAAATGACCAAAATGTGTCTCAACGACTGATGGTAGCTAGCAGGCAGAAAGATATCTACTCAAAGAAATCTCTATAGATTGAGAAGTTACTGCATATAAGATATAAGACTCTAAGGGAGAAAAAAACACTCAGTACCTGCAAGCATCCTCCATCAGAGACGATCAATCCAATAACATTAGCTTTCTTTAACTTTGGCAATACATCCTCGAGGTAATATTTTGGTGATGCAGAGTTTTTGGGCTTAAAAAGAGGGAACTCATTCCTTTTTCTTGCGGCTTTCAAGCTCTCAGGAAGGGTCTTCGTAACTATAACATCATTTTTAAGAAAGGCTATAAACTGATCTTCATCATAAAGATAGGAGAAACTCTTGAACTTGTTGCTGCACAGCATGTAAAATAAACTAGAGTAAAGAAGAGTCTAGTACCACGGCAAAGAAGCACGCTTTAACAGAAAATAATGGAGAAACAAGTAAAGATAAAAAAAGAACAACATAATGGATAGAGCTAGGCGCACCTAATGCCTTTTGAGCGAAGACTTTCTTGAAGCTCTGGAATGACAAGAGTAGCATTAAGAAGCCTGGATATGGTGACAAGATCACATATCTAGAAAATTTGCAAAGACGTTATCCACATGCATAACAGGAAATACAAAGAGGAATCTTAAATTGTCGAGTCAACTGATACATACAGAAGATCTTATCTTGTCAAATCCACCAAATATCTTTGCATAAATGAAACGATTGTTTGTTGAACTGGGTGCTGCAAAAAGACAGTGCCAAGAAAAAATTAACAAAGATAGATAGATTTGAAAGAGCAAAAGTCATAAAAATCCCAATAGACATTTCATGTTCAAACAAGTATCGAACACAACATACACCATCCCTAATGACTTTTATATTCCTCTATGGTTTGATACAAACCGCAGTAAACATCTTACGATTGAGCATTTAAGTTGCAGACATCAAAACAGCTGAAGATATAAAGTTCTCGTTTAAATGGATTTTGTGCATGCAAACAAAGTAAGATACAATACCAGGATAACTATTTCTTGGATTGGCATAAGGCTGTAAGGTCTCTAACGATTTGACAGGTCGCCATAAGTGCTTATTTCTAAAATCCTGCAACAGTAAACACAAAGAGAAAACCAAACTTTAGGCAAACGACATTCTTCAGTAAACTATTCAGAATCTAATTCAATTCGCTTTTTACCTGTGCGCCTAACAAAGAATCAAAATCTTGCCAAAGGTTATCTCTTGCAGAATACGCCAACTGTACACCGGAAGACTTGGTCATGGAAAGATGAACAACCAGAGATCCCATTGATAAGATCAACACAAAAAGCGCAATCCATTTTATTCTAGATTTGAACACCATCTTCCACCAGCCCGAAACCGAGCTCTCTCCCCAGCTAAAGAACCCTAAAATCCAAAATAACAGTAGGATTCAAATCCAGTCGCCAATTTTCCAGAAAACACAGAAATTCAAAATTCCAAAGTCCGAGAAGAAGCTGCTTTACCCAATTCAAGGCGAGATCCAGGGTCAAACGAGGTAAATTATCAGTGAAAGAGCCTCGAAACGAAGCACGCTTAGGATCTGATTAAAAAACTGGAGATTTCTCGCAATCGAACTTTCCAGGAGAAAACAAACAAAAAACCCGTGCAGGCAGAGCAAGTAGTTGAATTTAATTCAGAGTCAGATCAAGAGAGAGAGACACTATATGAGGAGACAAAACTCACTGACAGATTTTCCAGAAATCGAAGAACGGAATTTTATATATATCTTTCCTGCGACGAGGGTTGCTTTGTTAACAGACAAACTCTGCACAATATTATGAACTCGAGTTACAGTAGCGATAACCGGTTCAAATTTCGGTTTTCGATTCTCGGTTGAAAAACCAATTCCCAAATTTCAATCAATTATCCAAATTTTGATTAGTATTTTTCCCGGTTCATTTATCTGTACTATTAGTTATTACCGAGATTTTGTTCTAGTAGCCGACAGAGAAACCGGGTATTTAGTGTGTAAAAGTAAACCCGGTTTAGACTCATTCTTTAACTGGAACCCAAATTGATTTGCCGGTTCAAAGTCAGGCAGTTTATGGCGTCGGTTATGTTCAATTGGGAAATTCGCAATTTTATCCCAATCACTCAAAATCAACAAACCGGGTCTCGGTTAGATAAATCCACACGATGTGGACCACACCATTTACCTCTGCGTCTCTGCGTATAAACCCCGGTTTGGGTAAATTATTCGATCATTTATTCTCTGATTTTGTAGCAACATGAAAAATCTTGTGGATCTTATACAAATCTGAGAAATCTTTCTGGATCTTTTGTTTGATTTCATCGTTCATACACAAAAAAATTGGCATTTACATGATATCCTCTAGATCAAATCTTTCATTAAGAAAGATGAAAAAATTGTCATCTATCTACGGTTAAAAAAAATGTTAAAAAAAAAAAGCTTTTTCTTCAGATGATGATCACCCTTGGATCTGAGAAGTTACTGTGAGGAAGGTATCTTCAGGACAAGGGATCGTCAAACCGCCCATCGGATGGTTGAATCCGAACTCTTCTTCAGCCTTAATGAGAAGATCTTGAAACAAAGGCTGGTTTAAGTATGAGACCGGCACAAGGTGTCTCTGCTTCTTCTTTTGGCTCACACCGACGTACACTGCAAGAAACCCTTTTGGCGCTGAAGTTTCTTTCCTCGCTCCTGCTACTGAGCCACCAAGAATCTTCTTTGCAGCCATGAAACCTCTTACCAAAGCCATTTTTGTTTCCTGAAACTTAAAATCTTGATTTTTGTAGGTATAAGTTCTTGGATTGCTTCTTGTTGTTGATGATATGAAGATGTTGTTAGAGGTCGGTATATATAGATAAATCTAGCAAGTGTTTCGTGGGACATGCAAGAATAGAGTATCACATGGTTATGTTTTCTCAGATGGTATTAGATATTGGCATGTGCTCTTGTCTCTTCATGTTCCCATAAGAAATCTCTAGTACTTTTTGTCCTCTTATCTCAATCTTCTCTAGTTGAAATTGATTTCTCACATTACCAAATCTTTCTATAAGAACAAACTTATGTGGGGACATGAAGTTGTTCACCAGCAGAACAAAGAGTCTCTGTCACTAATTGTTTTGTTCTCAACCATATCTAGAATTAAGATCACATGACAATGCTATAAAGGAAATTTATGTGGCTAAACGTTACTATTTTCTCTTTGTGATGTTGATATGATGGTGAACAGTTGAACACAGTCATTTTGAGCTGAGCACAAACACTTCTGAAGCTCAGCTTACTGTCAACTAACGTGATTTATTTGTTCATGAGGTTTTCAAAGAATCTAGCACGTAATAATGTCTTCACTTCAAATTTTTTACAGAAAAATCTAGCAACTAAAGAATCTATTGATTTTGGACTTTTGTATTTCTAGTGAATTTGGTCAAAACTCAGTTTAGTCTTATGTAGTTTTTTACAGAATTTGATAATAATTCAAGTCAATTATTTCGAGATTTGGTCTTCTGTATTTTAAAAAAGAAAATTAGTGGTTTATTATAATTTAAAAAGATACTTGACTAAGACCATGTATATTTAGATATTTATATACATGTGTAGTTTAGGAAACTCTTCTACTATATTAATCTCTCATAAGCTTTTGGTTTTCACAATTCATCAAACACCATTATCTTCAAATTCTGAAACAATGGAGAAAATATCAATGAAGCGTGCTTTCCTTATCTTTTTAGTTGTTATATCCGGTAAATTTCATATTTTTACATGCGAGTATCATATTTTTATATTATAAGTTTATAACAAGGAATGTATATGTTTTGGTTTTGTAGCGATGGGTATCGTAACAATTCAAAATGTTGAGGCAAAACGTTTATTACATGAAGAAATTCCTCAAATGATGTTGCATCATGAAGTTTCAACGCAAGTTATTAGACCACAAAGTCTTCTTCACTGCGAAAAAGGGTGTCGTGTGAAATGTGTTCCCAATCCATTTATTGTTTGTTGGAGATACAATCCAAATCCCACATCGGAAGTTTGATGGGACAATCAATAATATATAAAGGGTTAGGGCCAATCCACTAATTGCCAATTGGTTTTCAGTTGGAAGCCCAGAATTAGCCCAAATTTAACATGGTATCAGAGCCCAAGATTCAAATTCTGGTGGACCTAGAAAAGTGGATACGGACATACCTCAAACCCGAGTAATGGGGGCCCGAGAAAGGGGCTTATTATCGATCCGAGTGAGGGATCGATGAGGTGTGTTAAGATCCATGTGGTCCTTGGATTGAAGGGGAGATTGTTGGAGATACAATCCAAGTCCCACATCGGAAGTTTGATGGGACAATCAATAATATATAAAGGGTTCGGGTCAATCCACTAATTGCCAATTGGTTTTTAGTTGGAAGCCCAGAATTAGCCCAAATTTAACATTGTTGAATGCTTTTGTTTTTGCTAAATTTTTATATCATCTCGTTTAATTAATCGAATAAAATTAGTCAAAATTAGTTGACATTAATTGCCTATATTAATCATTACATTCAAGAATTGTATGGGAAAAAACTCACTGTAATGTTTAAAAACAGTATATCTTATACATATACGATAGTTTTACGCCGTTGAGTATTGTTATTCAAAAAGTGCCAGTGGGGTATTGATTATTCAAAAAGTGTCACTCAAAACTTTGACAACTTGTAATTGTATTCATTAGTCATAATTTTAGAAACAGCCCACTATGAGCTAAAGATTGTTAGAACAGTTTTTGTAGAGAGATCTAAACTATTGGAAATAATTTCAAATTAAAGATCTAATCAGATCATAAAAGGATACAACTTTCCTAAAAAGCCTTTAGGATCACATGAGTTATAAAAAAAAAAAAATACAACTTTCAAATCATAGATGAACGCAATTAACGTGTAGTTGACCAATGTTTAACGTTGACTAATTTCCAGTATAATTTTATGCGGTCAATATAACCCAAAATTTAATTTTAATTTTTATTTTGCTAAATAAAAGTTGAGTTGATGATTCCGCCATTTAGCAAAAGTTGGAGATCTTTTTTGTCAATGACCAATTGTTAATAGCAAAGATTAGGCAACTTAGAAAAAAGTTATAAATCATGGATCAAATAATCCCACATAAATGTAAGAGTGGTCAGCCCCGGCTCAGATGTGTAGGGCGGAGGTGCGACGGCCCGGGGCTTTTTTTTTTATAAAAAATTTTTACATATAAAAAAGGCCCAAATATTTTTTAAAAATATTATTAATATGAGAATTATATTTTAAGAGGCCTAATTATTTATAAGAAAATGTATAAAAAGGCCCAAAATTTTTAAAATAACAATTTTTACTATAAAAACTCCGCAAAATTTTTAAAAATTAAGTAAATTTTCTCTTTGTATATAATAATAGGCCAAAAAAAATTTTTTTGCCCTAAGACTCTCAAATATGTTGAGCCGGGGCTGAGAGTGGTATGCAGATGCTATTTAGGGTTTTGAACCTTATGTCGACCACTATTTAGGGTTTTCAACTGTAAAAGTGTAATAATTTGTTACGTTCAATCGCCGGATGATTTGGTCTTATCATTCTGTAGAATTTGGTAAGAAAATCAATCTAGTTTATTTGATTTTGGTAACAAATCAATAAAGTTTAATGATTTCTACCTTTACTCTGGTAAAGATCTTGACTGTTGAGAAACAAATGATTTATGACTAAAACGAGAGCATTTCTCCATTGTATAAAAATGGTTCCACGAAAAACCTGTACCACTATCTTTAACATCTTTGAGCAATATTAACCATTTTTGTAAGTAAAACAATGGTGAAGATGTCAATGAAGTTTGTTTTCGTTCTTTTCTTAGCTGTTACATCAGGTAATTTATATTTCATATGTATGAAAAATAATTAAATCTTACATACAAATTTTAATTTATATTAACATATTAGTTTGGTCTTGTAGTGATGAATATTGGAACAGTTCAAAATGTTGAAGGGAAACGTTTATTACCTGAAGAAACTTCTCAATTTGTGTTGGATCATGAAGCTTCACCATCGTTTGTCATACCACAAGGAATCCACTGCGAGAAAAAGTGTCATGTCCAATGTTATATTCGCGAGAGGGCGTATGGTTGTGTTTGTTTATGCTAAATTTCAGTTTTACGTTTAATCGAATAAATCAAATACGTTTTATCGGTAATAAAAAATAATTATTTGAACTAATGTATGTATGTATGTGGAAGATTATTGGGCTTTTGTTTATTCAAAAATATTTTCAATCATGTTACGTTTCACACTCTCTGCAGTTTGTTTCAGCCTCACAAAATCATTCACGTTCTCTCCTTTGTCTCTCTCACGTTTGTTGTTTGTTAAAACAGAGGAAAGAAGAACAGAGAAAAGAAAGCAGGAAACACAAGCACACAAGATTTTTACCCGGTTCAATCCAATCGGTGTGATTGAATCTACGTCCGGGGCCAGATCAACTCTGACAATCCACTAATAAGAAGGAGATTACAGCTCAAAACCTGAGCAATACACAAGTCTCAACAATGAACAAAACTTATGTCTTTTTCTCGCCAACTTGAGAAAGAAGCTGTCTTGGAGATGTGTATTTATACACGTTTGAAAATGAAACAGTGTAGCCCTCGACGTGGTTCTGGTCTTCACTGTACCAACTCAACTTTCTCCTAAACCAACTGCAAACTGCAGAACCATTCAATCATCTCTAGCTTGACATTAAACCGGAATCAAACCAGAAACTTGAATTATACCGCTTCTTCTCTAACAAATCAAAACTTTGAAAACTAACTATACTCATTAGTTATATGTTTGATAGCATCGTTTCTTACACAAAACTGGCTTTCACAAAGAAACTTCTATCCTTTGGAACAAATCTTTTGGTTAATAAGATGAAAATTTGTCAATCTATTTACAAGAAAAATTGTTGTTTTTCCTACTGACGGTCATCATTGGATCCGAGAAGTTATACTGATAAAAGTATACTCAGGACAACAAATCGTCAAGCCGCCCATTGGATGATCAAAACCAAATTCCTCTTCGCCTTTACTGAGAAGATCGAGCCTGAAATGAAGGCTGGCTCAAGTATGAGATTGGTACAAAGTATCTCTGCTTCTTCTCTTGGTTCTCACCGACGTACACCGCAAGAAAACCTTTTGGTGCTTTGCTTGTTCTTGCTAAGGAGCCGCCAAGAATCTTCTTTGCACTGAAGATACTTCTCACTAAAGCCATTTTCTTATCTCCAGATTTGATTCTTGAAGCTTCTGAATATGTATGAGAGCAAAGGAAGGACTAAAGAGATTCAAGATCTGGATTGCTTGTGGTTGATGATATTCTTTCTGATGCTGGGATGTATATATATAGATTAAACTAATGAGTTGAAACTTGTCTGAAATCCATTGAAAACAATGTAGGACAAATAATTTCACATGGTTCTGTTATCACATTTAAAGCAGAGCTTCCACAATTTGTACTCACATAGGACCAAGAGAACAAGATCACATGTTAAGGACATAGAAGAAGTTTCTCTACGTTGATTGATATATCATAAAATCCACCCAACTAACTCAGTCACAGTCTGTCTGCAGATTCTTAATCTGATTTAACACAATGAGAAATTAATCAATACATGGGACCAAAGTAGCTGGACCACAGAAACTTCCAATCTATATAGCATTTGTCATGTGATCTGTTCTTGGTTCAATTGTGATAGAAACCTGTTGTTCAACAATCTTGAAACCAGGCCCCATCTGATCATAGTTTTGGCAATCAGAAACTTGTTTTTGGACCACAGAGATCCATTCCACATCTTAAATTCAAGAAACATGACAGAAATCATTACCAACCAATGAAACATGATGGAACAGAACCGGCCCAATATTTCATTTATTGTATTAATATATTTCTGATTAGCATTTGAAGGCAGACAGAAGCATGTGAAACTCTCAATTCATATACGTCCCCACAGTTTTCAACTATCTTATTGACCTATTTATAAGGACCCAAAACAGAACAACATTTTCATAACCATCAACAATAAGCAATCTAAAAACTCTAAGCTTCAAAAAAAATCAGGACTTATAAACAAAAATGGCTTTGGTGAGAAGTTTCTTTGTTGCAAAGAAGATATTTGGAGGCTCATTAGCCGGAACGAGGAAGTCAACTTCAGCACCAAAAGGGTTTCTTGCAGTATACGTAGGGGAGAGCCAGAGGAAGCAAAGATACTTAGTGCCAGTCTCATACTTGAGGAACCCATTGTTTCAAGATCTTCTCAGTAATTCCGAGGAAGAGTTCGGATATGATCATCCGATGGGCGGCTTGACGATCCCTTGTCCTGAAGATACCTTCCTCACAGTAACTTCTCGGATCCAAGGATGATCATCATTAAAGGAAAAAAACTAAACACTTTTCTTACTGTAGATATATAGATGACAATTATTTCATTTTTCTTGCTGAAAATTTTGATCATGTAAATGCCAGTTTTGTGTGATAATTAACGATGGAATCAAACAAAAGATCCAGAGAGATTTCTAACTTTTGTTTATATGATGTGTTTATCAACAGTTATATACTAAAAAATCGGAACGTTTTGTCATGTTTCTACAGAACCAGAGGTTCATTATCAAATAAAGATTTAACCATGCTATAATTTACACAAACCAAATATTAGTTATACTAAACTCATATCAATTGAAAAGCATAAACTTCTCTAGCAAAGACATGATAGTAATATATTTAACGTTGAGGATGTAATCTTCATCCGGATCCGTGGCGCAATGGTAGCGCGTCTGACTCCAGATCAGAAGGTTGCGTGTTCGATTCACGTCGGGTTCAAATCCCCGAACTTTAATTCCGGAAACCATTTTTTTTTTTTTTTTTTTGGCTATTTCAAGAATTAGGTTTTTGGAAAGAAAAAAAAGCAGATGCTAATCCATTGTTTAAACATGTTTTCTTCTCTCTTCTCTGTAACCTCCAATTTTTCCTACTCGATCTCAAGCTTCTCTTCCTTCAGTGGCATAGGCATAGGCATAGCCCCACTTTGTTTTAGCTGAAGGATGACCCGACTTGGGCTGAATTTAAGGCCTTACATATTCTTATAGGCCCATATATGTTTCAAACCCAAATTTAAGGATCTTGATTAACTTTGTTACTTTTCATAATTAATATTCAATAGAACTGACCTGTTTTGTCCAAAGAAATTTGACCTGTAAAATTTTATGGACCATAAAAGAAAGTCAACTATGGCATTATATCATATTTTGGGAAAAGAATTATAGAAACAAGGAAAATTAATGTTATTATATATATAGGTATCTCATGGAAACAAAAATTAAAAACAGGAAGATCCTTTAACAAAAATTTAAAACATATAGAGTTGTAAATAAAATAAAATAAAACTCAATGTTAAAAATTTTATTTTCTTATAAATGAGTAAAATATCTAATAAGTATTGTTTTCCCATTGAAGAAAGGAGAATTAAAAATGGTGCTCCAGAATATTAAAGATCGGGTGGTGCTATTTAAATCCAATATCAGAAACACATCGAACGAGACGAATAGCTAGCTTCTGATTAAATTTTCAACTTTTGGCGTTTTTCGATCTGTTGCTTCTGCAAAAAAAAAAATCATATATATAGATATAGAAAAATTAGTGAATTTTCGGATCGGAGATTTCCCCAAATTGTAAAATTAGGTTTTGTTCTTCGCCTCCTCGTTCTAGCCCTAGCTTAGTTTCATGGATTCTCGAGTTTCGATTCTCTTCGTCTGTGCGATAGCTGTGTCATGCTTTACGTCTGGGTCCGCTTCATCACGGGTGGACTTTTCCGTTTGCAATTACGAATTCGAGGTGTTTCGATTCGATTTAGAAGCCAAATGTCCTCCTTCTCTGTATCCAAGTCCTCCTATTGAGGTACGTTTGTCACAATTTTCGGCTTTTGTGAGCTCTAGGGTTTGTTTGAATTAGGAACAATGGGGGATTTTGGTAACTATTGAGCATGGAAGTTGAAGCTCTGATTTTTCCTCTTTTTCTGAAACTTACTTAAGGCATGCTTTAGGCTTATAGCCAAACACCACCAATGCTCCTTTGTTTATTGTGTTGTTTCAATGTTTTATTAGTGTCGTCTATTGTGGAAACATATTTCCTTAGATGTTAAGGATCTGTATTACTAGGCATAGTCCATTTCTCTATACCTGTTAGCAGTGTCATGTTTACCATCCGAATTTTGTCTCTTCATCTATACTCTGTTTAGGTTCAGAGTTTAGTGCTCTTATGATGCATATTGTCTAGTAGTAGCTGCTCTGCCCCCAAAGATGATATAGCAATATTGAAATAGGTGTATTTGGTTCTTCTAAGGGCATGAAGTTGGATCTGAAGCTTTATTCTTAACTAAAGCAGTGTCTAAATTTGCACTATGCAGGTAGATGGAGACTCACTGGACAGGGTAATGGATTCAAATCATGGAAATGCTTATATGTCAGTACTCTTTTATGCTTCCTGGTGCCCATTCTCACGTGCTGTGCGCCCTAAGTTCGATATGTTGAGTTCGATGTTTCCTCATATACAGCACCTAGCTGTGGAGCATTCTCAAGCACTGCCATCGTAAGAAGTCTATTTAGTATTGTTTGTCTAAGACTACATAGTCTATTATTCCATACCACTTAGTATATACCAAGGAAATGGATTGAATGACTCACATCAAGAATTTGGGTATTGATAGTTTAGTTGAGAGTAAAAAATCTTAAATTGCATATCCATTATTTAATAACTTGACCCATCTAAGGTGGTGCTTCTTTTCATTTTAATAGAAGGTCATGTGTGTTTACTGTTACGTTATCTTACATTTCAGTAACAAATATTCATTTGATTTATCATTAACTAGTTCATCATTACCTTACCTGCCTTGTGTAAATGTCTTATTAGTGGATTCCTCTCCCAAGTACTTTTAGGTTTCTTCATGTGTTTGGCCTTTTCTTTTGTCTTACTAACTGGTTTCATTAATTGCTTTGTTGCAGTGTCTTTTCTAGGTATGGTATCCATAGCTTACCTTCAATCCTGATGGTAAATCAAACTTTAAAGGCTCGGTACCATGGACGAAAGGATCTTACATCCCTGATTGAGTTTTATGAAGAGGCAACAGGTGATACACCAAACCACATAGTCTGCTTGTGTTTTCTTTCAATCGACCTTTGTTTTATGTCCAAGCTATAACCAGCACATTTCGGGTTGAAAGATTATTGATTGTTATTCTGGCTTTCCAGGTCTCCAACCTGTCCATTATGTGGCTGAAGGGGAACCAACAGGTTTAGACGCCGGCGATGGTAACTTGATCACATGGTTGCGCAATGGGACATCTATCAGAGAAATATTCAAACAAGATCCGTTCTTGGTACTATCTCTGCTGTTTATCTGTTTACAAATGGCAATCCTTGTCTTCCCCATAGCCGAATCGCGCATGAAAGCTTTATGGGCTTCTTATGTTCCCAATCTGAACCTGGGAAGATTTGGAGAGATAAGCCAACTGTTCAGCCGTGGTATTCACATGGTCGATGTGAGGAGGTTATGGTTGAAACTAAGCCTCGTCAAAACAAGGAACTTCCATGAAAGAGCAAAGAACGCACAAGCTTGGGCTTCATCGCTCGCATCTGTCTCTCTAGGACAAACTTCATCAGACCAATCCTGATCTTAAGGGTGAAAATCAAAACCCTTGTAAGATCCTGTCAGCATTGGGAAGAGATGAGCTTGAAGTGTGTTCTGGAAATCTGAGAGTTCCTTTAATGAAACCCCTGTTATATGACTTTTTTGAGTTTGATTTGTCTGCAACGAAGCATGTAAATCCAGGAACAGCTTTGCTTCTGTTTGTGAATATCTATCTTTCTCCCTTTTTTGTTCTATAAATTTGAGATGTCTGTTTTGGCCTCATTTCTTTTACTGAATAATTTGATTGAGTCAGCTAAAATTTGTCTGAATTTCTTACGCAGCTTTGTCTTGTAATGTCTGTTCGAGTTTGGTTCACTCCACCATGGTTTATGGTACATTATCATCATGTGCATGTTGCATTATAGGATATTGAGACTGAGGATATGTCGGTTTGGTTTAGTATGGTATCATTAATTGGTTTTGTATTGGGTTATGGTTCTGAATTCTGATTGGGTCAGATATATTTTCTGTTTCTTTTATAGTTAACCTATAATATACTACAGTATTCACTACGTAAAGCATCAAAACAAAAACCAAGGAATCAAGCTTAAATGTCCAAAAGTAGGGAACAAAATTAAAGAACAAAGCAGAAACATATGGAATAAACTGCAGAGCTTCAAAAGTTAAATAAGAAAGTAAGAAGAATAATCACTTTGGTTCACTACATTGAATTTTGTAGTGAACTCAAACACCAAACTATTTTATTTGCATTTCTTTGATTACTAATGTGACATTTAGTACGAAAGATTCTTCGTAATCCCCTTACTACATACAACATGATATCATCGATAGAACTAAACCTTATCCAAAACTAATTCACGTCTTAGTTATAAAGAAATAAATATGTAACCGACTCACATTTTACTATTCCATTTTATTTGAACAAATTATTCTATATGATCGGTCTAACCGAAAACCTATTGATCCAAAGAATGATTTGAATATAGGAAGAAGACTTCATCATAGAGGAAGAATTAAGGACCTTGTCAAAGAAGGCAATCAATGGTTATTCGAATGGGTCCCCAAAGGACCACTTCTTCTTTTGTCACTTCATTGCCTTAGATAAGCTCTAATTCACTTTCGTCACCCACATCCTCAAATCAATACATTTCTTTCTTTTTTTTTTTTCTCAAAACAAAATTATATACGTGTCCACTTCAAATAATATCAATCTATGTTTACAAAATGATATTTCTTTACTCTAATTAAAATTAAAAGCTTATTGGTGTTATACCTCACGCATTATCAAGCTAATTTTTTCAAAGCATATTGTGTGTTTCTTCATTTAAGAAACGAAATTAGGGTCTCAAACCATTTTCTCTCAATTATTATTATTAAACATTCTCAAAACTAGTTTGAATCTTCTGTCTTGTCTTCTATTAAAGGATCTTGAAACCCCTTCGCATGGGAGAGAGAAAGAAAGAGATGTTACTCCATGAGAATACCGAACCCACTTCGTTCCAATAATTCAAAAGATTTCACTTTCTTGCTTTTCTAATTTCTAAAACCCTAATTGAAGTTCCAACAAGATCGATCAAGGAGAAGATGGATCTCGAGGATTGGGAATTAGTACTCCCCAAGAACAGCTTCAAGGATCTTGATCTTGATCATGACGAGGATCATCATGGAGCGATGGTAATGGACTACTTCCTCTGCCCATCTACTAAAGATCCTCTCCCAAAAACAGAGTCTCCTCCAAGAACCATAGTGGTCCCTAAAAAGCTTCTTCAAGTTCCCATAGCCTGGGAAGCCGTTTTGGACCAAGACAACACGAAGAAACCCAATAACCGTGAACCGGATCCAGATCCGGATTCAAAACAAACCCTTTCGACGGACTTTGTTTCGTCACCTAGAGTTTCCTTCAAGATAATGAAGGAGACTGAATTTGCCGACATGAAAATTGACCCACCAGCGAGGATCACGAGTCCTCTGCCTCAGATCGATGATGCTGCATCGAAACCCTCTGATTTAGAAGGAGGAGGTGACTTGCGAAACAAGGAAGAAGTTGTGTTGGAGGAAGTAGATGAAGATGGTAGTGGTGGTGAGAGATTGAATCTGTGGAAGGTTGGTCTCAATGGGATTGGAGCAATCTGTTCTTTTGGGGTCGCAGCTGCTGCTGCTACTGTATGTGTCTTCTTCCTCGGACACAACAATATCAAAATCTGTAAGAACAAGAACCAGATGCTTAGGTTCCAGATTTACTCCGATGATAATAAGGTAAACTGATTTTATTAAAATTATGCTCTTAATTCAACTATTTATTTCATCTTTGAATATTCTTAGTTAAATAATTTAGTGAAAAATTATTGGTTTTAGTTGAGTAGTTTCGTCTTGGGACGGATACTTGATTTATATACTAAAAATGTTTTTAGCTATTTAATCACAAAAGATAAATGTAAAAAGTATTAGATATGAAAGATAAGGGAGTAGTAGATTTGGATAAAATTGCTGTCTAGAATATGAATCCTCTACAACAAAGAAATATTTGTTAAGATGAAACAAAATAGTGAAAAGGGGTGGTAGAAAATTATTTTCTGATGTTAATGGTTCATGACGATTAGTTGGTATCTGTCTGCTTAATGGTAACAAAAGTTATAATTTTGATTTATTGTATAAATTGTATGATTAACTGATTGATAACTTTTCATTAAATTATAGAAATAAGTTTTGAATATTTGAATCTGACAAATTGATAAGGTGAAGTTTACGTGTTTAAGTGAACAATCTTTAAAATTGAAGAGAACGATTCTTATTTTATCTTTGTACGTTTTGTTTTCTGATTGTTTTCTTGTGCTAACGTCAAAGTGATAAGAAGAATTTTTCTTCGTTTACTAAATATAGCATCCATGTAACAAACCCCATTAAAGGCATATCCAATTCCTAATTAAAGCATTAATTACAATAACATACTTGATAACTTTAAACATGTTTGTAGTAGTACAACATTTTAAAACATAAACTAATTTGTTGATCATCAATACTTCACCAATCTCTCTATCTCTGTGTGGATTTTGAAATTATGAGTTGTTGATCAAATTTTGTTTGAATATTGGTGGATGCAGAGGATGAAAGAAGTTGTGAATCATGCAACAAAGCTCAATGAAGCAATCTTTGGTATGAAAGGTGTTCCTGTCGTAAGAGCTCAAATATCTTTTGGGGGTCACTACGATGGACTTTGAATCTCAGCCGTCATAATAGTTCATATGGTTCAGATCGAGTTTTATTCACCCACAAGCTTCATAATGTACATATATGAATGTAGTGTAACGTTTTGTAAATTTATATTATTATTTTGTTCAAATATTGATTAATTATGTGTTGTTAATAGATCATTGTGAAATTTCATGTAGTTTTTATTTTTTATATTAATTTCATGTAGTGTAACGTTTTATAAATTTATATTATATTGTTCAAATATTTTTTTCCTTGAATCCTCATAAAGTCATACTTCAAGTCTTCAATTATAATTTTTTTTATAAAGATATGAGTATAGTTGAATGTTACCAATAAAATGGTTTTTTTTTTTTGGGAAAATAGTTGATGACAAAAAAAAAAAAAAATCAGAAAATAGTTAATCTTTCTTTGTATCTCATAAAATTGGTAATTTATCTCGTTAGTTTAAAAGTCATTTGCCACTGTGAAAAAGGGCTAGACCGTAAATTGTAACTGGATCTCAAATCGGACCGTCGATTTTATAATCGAACGGTTAATAAAGATCCCAAAGAGATGCCCTAAAAGGTCTATAAACCACCTTTACCTCCCATTTACAGAGTCGAGCGAGAAAGAAAGAGAGACACGCTTCTGGTCAGTTTCGTTAAACCCGCCGGAGATATTAGCGACTACGGTGGTCTTACTCTTCTGACGTCGTAGAATTCATCGGAATTTCTGCGTTTGCCAGTCAGATTCACCGGAACTTCTGGATCCTCCTGACAAAAGGTAAATTGAGAACAGTTTGCAGAGCGCACGCTTCTTTCTCTGATTTTTCGGAGAAATTTCACATTTTTTTCGTGGGAAATTCATCCTCCTCAATTTGAATCAATCTCTCTCTTTTGATTTTTTTTTTTTTTTTCAGTTCCCAACATTGAAAATCCTCACTTTTTGGATAAATTCTTCAGCTGGGACGATCAGAGAGATAGCTTCAAAAATGTCGTCATCGTTAGAACAAGAAATCTTCTTACAGTGGGGAAACAAGAAGAGATTGAGATGTCTTAGAGCCAAAGACAAAAAGATCTCTCGCAGTAAAAACTCTTCCCGCTTTCTAGGTCAAGATACCTTCCTCCTTCAATCCACTAGATTCTCCAGGTAAACTTTGATTCCTTTATTGCTGTGAAATTGCTCAATTCAACTCTTGGAATCTCGATGCCAAAGACTCACAATTTCTTGGTGGGTTTTCTGATTTGTGTAGAGGATCAGAAGGAGCAATCCTCAGATCTGGACTACCAGATCGCCGGCTGGAGAAAGAAGAGAGGTATTATACGACGAGAGGTGTAGTTGATAACATTGGGAAAGTTTGTTTAGATGAAAACAATAATAATGGAGAAGATGGCAACAACAAGGAAGAGAGTATGTGGCCTAAGCTGTTTATAACATTATCAAACAAAGAGAAAGAAGAAGATTTCATGGCTATGAAAGGTTGCAAACCTTCTCATAGGCCTAAGAAGAGAGCCAAACTCATCCAAAGAAGCTTACTTGTGAGTTTTCAATACTCTTTTTTTTTGTCGTTTCAAAAAAGTGTTTTGAAGATTCTTCACTTGTCTGTTTACAGTTTTGAGAATAATGTTTTGGTTGGACATATTTACAGTTGGTGAGTCCTGGAACATGGTTGGCTGACTTGTGCCCAGATAGATATGATGTTAGGGTGAAGAAGAGCTCTAAGAAGGTAAGGACTTTTATCATTTTTATTCCTGTGATTCTACATATAGTGATTGAGATCAACATTTGTGTAATTTTGCTAAAGATATGATGATGATGTGTGTGTGTGTTGTGTTTGTGTTGCAGAGGCGAGCAAGAGGGCTAAAAGCTATGGGAAATATGGAGACTGATTCAGATTGACATGTTTTAACATTAGTTTATTAATTAGAAATGTTTGCGTATTGATCTAAGCTAACTTCCGTGGGTTTACTTAAGCAATCTTAAAAAAGTATTTTAGATGAAATTATTCGGTTGAGCATTTTGAATTATAATTCACAAGGAAATATCATTTCTTTTGTGACAATGTATGTTCTTGTTGTAACTTGTAACTCTATCAAAATCTATTGTTTCAGATAATGTACTGTTGTCCTATTTGGCATAACTTAATCATGGGCTCAAGTGTAACCAATAATTGTATGACATGTACATCTTCATTTTCTTTGTGATGGAACAATGAAAAATCTGTTACAATTTGTGTTTCAAATGAGAAATCAATCACTGGATTTGACTGCGAAAAGATAAAAAAAGTCAAGTACTAGTAAACTTTCCTGAAATCACAAGCATGGTGAATAACTTAACAACATAAATCTTCATTTATAACTTTTTCGTGTATAAGTCTAGTTATTTACAGGACTAAATGAGTGTTCTTTTCCAGCGGATAGATACGATAAGGAAGGTGTAAAGGAGGAAGCTTCTTTTGTTGTAGCAGGATTCAGATGGTAGAGAGAGCTTTTCCATCTTTTTTTTTAGCAAACTAATTGGGAATAGGCTTAGCAGCTTGAAGCATTTCCACTATTAGTGTCTTCACATCCCTGCAAACACCACCACCATTCAAGAGTTACTCAATCAGTTTTGCAACAGTCTAACAATGAAGGGAATCAGTACTTTTAACTCTAGACCAAAACTGTGCACAAAATTGCAACATAGATCTTACTTTCTGTCTTGTGCGGGTCTTGGGAATGGAACTCGGAGCTTGAAGGTATTCCCTTGAAGACTAGCCTGTAATGAAGAAGAGGACATATGTTTCATAAACTGAAAGATAAAGGATTCGAGGAAGGATTCCGATTATTAGAAAACACACCTTAACGTTGAAACCAAGGCTGTCCAAATCAAGCATCAAGGCGCTCTCGACCTGACATTTAAGGAAGTTTACACATTCTACAGTTTAATTGTGATGTTTGTGAATATATCGGTATGGTATGATCGTCTCTCGAAGACAAACAGTCCTAGGATTAACCAGACTTCATATAATTAAATGTTCATAACGTATGCTTTATGTAGACCAAGATTAAGACGATAAATTCAATAGTATTACTTACAGGTATGGACGTCACATTGTGTACTATGGCTTTGGTATCCTCTTCATGGTCTTTATTCATGTGAGACTGCCGAAATTAAAAGGAGTTACTACACATCCACCGCCGATATGTTGATAAAAATTGTAGTGGGGATATGATTGTTATACCGTCACAGGCTTTGCATACTGAGCTATAGGATCGACTTTGGCTGCTTGGTACTTCTCTTTGCTGAATTCTGGAAATTAGAGATTTCAAAGAGTAAGTAAAAAAATTAGCAGGATCACCTAATTGGATCACAAAAGTTAGGATATTTAGAAGATGAAGCAGAAAAGATACCTCCAGATCCTAGAAAAGCAGTTGCAATCCCTGAAACATATCTAACCACTTTCGGTTCGATTCGCATAAAACTGAAGTCCCCGAAATCAACCTTCAGAGTTTCAGGAAGAAAAGGTTCAGTTAACTAATTGAGATGTCATGATACATTTTGTCTTTGGGAGGTTCTACACTTTCTAGTCAGTACAAGAAAGAGTGCTTACCCAGAAAGCACTGGGATGCTTGGCTAAATAGGCAGATCGAACAGCCGCTTGATCTTTTTCAGAAACCTAAATGATACATAGAAAAACATTCAAGCATTGGCACTGTATTTGAATGCAAGTGTATATAGTGCAACACAGCAAAAAAACATACCAGGACTGCATCACCATGTAGGGTGATCCTCAAACCGGTCCTATCCTCTGGGTCTCTAGCAATTAGTAATGAGCATTTTGGATTAGCTAGCAGATCCTGCAAACGGTAGAAATTCTCCAGATGAATTATATGGCCAAGACATCTAAATCTGAGGAAATAGACACAATGGCTCTTTTACTTTGCCCCGGCATCACTTCGATAATCCACACATTTTCAGTTTGTTAAGTGTAAACTATGGCTCAATCAGCTCCAAATTGCAGCAAAACAGAGGTGAATAATCATAAGTCCTTGAATAAGAAACAAACCTTCGTATGAACTGCCAAGCTACTAACTGCCAGAATCGGAGAACCATCAGCATCACATGCAAAATCAACCATTGACCCTGAAGGATAACCCTCATATTTCTGCACCAGATCAAAATTTGATAAATGAGATACAGTCAAGGTGGATTATAAAATTGTACTGCGAGACCGGTGTACATATATGATATATATCCTTCATCTCCTCTCTGAGAAACCATATTCATAGAAGAAAACTTAATTCCTCACCTGAGAAAAAGTGGAAAGCATACCACGGACACTACCATTAAGAACAGTCCGGATTTCGTCAACTGGAGAAAGACGAGCAGCCTTCTCCTGGAAATCAGACGACCACATAGCAATAGAGTTAAACCCATCTCTTACAAAACCAAGTTAACTTTCTTCACATCGCCTTGAGAATACATGAATGATTATCAATCAAATCATATAGATAGATATATTCACAGAGAAAGCTTACAAAATTGGCAAATAAGTTACCTCGTGAGCTTGAATCAATTTGAAAACATCTGTATCACTGTTGACACTCCCCGATGACACAGCCTGATTAGTAGGTATATGACACAAAGTTTAGAAGTTTTCAACTATTGAACTCAAAGCACATTGATCTAACTTCCAAATACATGAAATAAGGGATTAGCATAACAAAGAATCGTTGACTAAAATAACTTTCCTCATCCAATCTACATAGCATCCTCGTAGAGCTATATTCATTAGCCAGGAATTTTACAAAAGATTCGAACTTTTCTTTCTTCTAATGACAGATAAAGGATATAAAACTAATTCAGGGAAAACAAGAACACATCATTGGCGCACACATTACAGATCAAAGAGCCACATCGAGACACAGATTCACTGATTTTTTTAACTATACCAACAAAACCCACACACTACAATCCAAAATCAGAACACAGATTCATCAATAACACACCAAACCTAGAATTTCCCAGATAGATACCTGAGAAGAAGACTGAGCTGCTGAGGCCATGGTGAGAGGAGAATATCGGCGGCGGACGGTGGGAAAATTGACGGCGGAGATTGAAGCTCGATGAATAAGACATGTAGGGAACAATCTAGACGTGATTAAAGGCGTTGAAAAATGGGCTACAAGCGACTTCATCTTCTTTCTCACGAAACCTTTGATGTTCTTTGATTTACACGTCTCTCTGCTTTTTTTTTTTTCTCTCTGTAACGACAATTCCTCACAATCCGGTTTGGTTTAAAATTTCCCGGTTAAATATGGTATTCAATTTATTTATGTCCCTTTCGGTTTACAAACAAACAAATTACAAACACAAATGTCGAAAATTAACAGACGAAGGAATCAAAGGATCAAATTTCCGTTGAAACTGCGCCGGGATGTTAATCGCTATGAGTACGGCGATCGAATCCGGCGCCGGAATCGAAGCAGAGGTATGATCCGAGAGAGGAAGCGAGACGACGGAGTTGGAGGAGAGGGATGCCGAAGATGAAATGAAGGACGGTGGCGCGAGGAAGTCTCTCGGGGTTACATGCTACATATTGCCAGAGATCCGCCGATAGATTCACTGTCGTCTCCACCAATCGACTATTCAGCACCATTTTTTGTCTCAAATTTGCCCCGTGATCGTGTTTTGTTTTGTTCTTTTTTTATATTGCAGAACTCAGGATCTAAAAAATTTAGAAAAATTGCAAACAGAACCCTCAATATTTTCGAACTATTCAAATAAGATCTAGAGTTTTTCTGAATCAATTTTTCACTATCATACTTAAAATTATTATTTTTGACCCCCGAAAAATATCAAAATTACTAAATACTATGATATGTAAACTAATGGTTTGTGTTAGTATAATCGTTGTTGATTGGCATGGCTCTTGTTGTTGTTTGTATAGGATCGAATAAATCAACTTGTTTCTTACTTTAAATGGTGTGACTTAAACTGTTATATTCTGATCTAGCTTTGTAAGAAGCTGCAGATGTTTTAAAAAAGATTCTGATGTTGAATGATTTCATTAGTTGAAACTTCTTAAGAATTTGCACTGTTTCAGGAAAGTAATAAACAGAGAACACCCATCAAAGTAAAAGGAAAAACAAATCTCAGCCGTTAGATTATGGTGAAGGTTACTCGTTTTGAAGGAAGCCTTTGTCTTCTAAATAAAAGATGACTTCCTCAGCCATAGCTACAGGGGAAGGACACTCTCCCTCTTTCTCTTTCAGCTCTATCTGTTATGTTTCAAAACATACAAAAGAAATACAGAAACATATTCACATACACGTATAGTTTGCGATATCTTATATTGACATGGATCATACCTCACAGTTCAAGGGAGATTCATATGGATCATCTATTCCAGTGAAACCTACACAAAGGGTATGAAGAAACAAAAAACTTTATATAACAACTCAAATAATACTGAAGCAAATTGCTATCTTCTATTTATATGGAATCTTGAAGCTTATGTTATCTCACCTTTGATCTTCCCTGCACGTGCAAGCTTGTATAGGCCTTTAGGGTCTCTTGCTTCACACAATTGCAGAGACATATTCATGAAAACCTAACAAGTTTATTATGCCACAATATCAAACAAGATGTTTTTAAGATCCAACCGAATGGGGGTTACAAACTGTAAAGTCTGGTTTCGAATAGCTTGCCTCAATAAAAGATGAATCCTGCATCATTTCCCTGCAGGCGTCACGGTCTTTTCTATACGGGGATATGAGGCTGGCAATACAGATCAAACCAGCATCTGCAAAAAGTTTGGCTACTTCTCCTGCATTTAGAACAAATTGTTCGTCTTCTTTAGACTTTAGTATTGCCCTTTACAGAAGTTTCTTTTCAACATTAACCAGAATCTATCAGCTTTTAGGTGTATATCAATGCCGTATTGGTACAATGTAAACCATAACTACTGATATTATGAGACACCCTTTTAAAGGATTTGCATTTGTATTACTGACTTTCTTCGGAATCAGACTTTCATCAACTGAATGCAAAAAATAATAAGCAACTATGTACATACCGACCCTGCGTATATTTTCCACTCTATCCTCTGCCTTGAAACCAAGATCTTTGTTCAAACCATGACGAAGATTGTCGCCATCAAGAATGTATGATAGCTTTCCCCGGTTGTTCAGCTCTCTACTCAGCGAGCAAGCTAACGTGCTTTTCCCTGCACAAAGTTTCAGCCTAAGATTTTAGAATATATATACAGAGGCATAAAGAAGCCACCTCAAGTAATCATCACAATGGGAAAAGAATTAAGATTGCTAAGAAGATTGACCTGAGCCACTGAGCCCTGTGATCCACACCACACAACCCTTCTGGTTTAACAACTTCTGCCTTTCAGTTTTCCCAATGGGTGATTCTTGCCAAAATATGTTTGTAGAATTTCCCACTGTCGACATTCTCAAAAGTCTGCCTGTTAATCTGATCTATCACCAAAACTCAGAGATCTAAACCACCAGAAATTTCATTCAATCTGCAAGGACATGTTCAAAAAACATTAACATGACCAGTCTTCTTGAAAAATTTCAAAGGTATAGAAGAAGGTTCACACCAGGAAACACTGATTCTCAAAAGAGCAAAAGAAAGTTTCCTACAATCCAATGTTATAACCTCGTTGATGAGATTATGTCCCTCCTTTAACATAAACTGGAAGACCAAGAGAATAATAATAACTTTTCTGCATCATATGATCTCACTATGATCTTGTGGCTAATAAAATTAAGTCCTTTAATAAATAAATAGGTTTCTAAATTCCAGAATCATAGCCAAACTAAATCTAAAATTTCAGAGCAGCTCCAGAAGAAAGATCAACACACCAACTAAATTCAAATTCTTTCTGACAACTCATGATCTATGAAATGGTCACTCTAAAATGTAAGTCATTTCCTCCAAGCCCACCAAGAGAATCACAGATTAAAACGAGTAGATTACAGGAAAGTTCTTCCTGCATTGAGAAAATAATTACCTTGGAATCAATGTGCTCTGCTTCTCGAATAAAGGAAGAGGTTTTTTTAAGCTTATTCCTGTGTGTGTGTTTTTAACTTTTGCTTTGTTCCATCTCCTCGAGTTTCTTGGGGTCATTGTGAGTGGGAAAATGGAAACCGACATTAATGGAGTGGCAGACAGATGGAGAGAGGAGAGCGATGGGGGTGAATGGTAATAATGAGACTCTGTCTCTGAAGACTTTTTTACTTGAGAGCAGCATTTATTAACAAGAGTTTAGTTTTTCACTTAGATATTGTTGGGCTTCAAAGCCCATAACTTTAAGGCTGTAGTTAACTGGGTTTTTCTTTTTAAACGAATATATAGGACAATTATGACCTTGAATTGATTTTTGAATTTTAGGTTTGATTTTAGACTTTTAAATATTTTAAATACATTTTTAGCTTTTCGTAGTTTGTTTATTAGGGAAATGGCCTTTTAGGAGAAAAAACCAACTGGTTATGTGTATATTTGTTTGAGTTATTTGTTTTATCATTTATTAAAAAGGGATATAAAGCTAATGCATTTTTTTTTTTTTTTCCTCGTGGATATAAAGCTAATGCATAACGTTTTAAAAATACTAAATCCTTGACATTAGCTACTAATACCATGAACCGGATTTTTTATTGGACTATTACTTTTATATATTGGTTTGACCAAAGAGGGTGAGATCAAATTTGGAAACACTAGATTACGGTCAATGTTGTTATTACAAAATTGATATCTTCTTTTGGAAATTGAAAGAGAAAGAAATCTTGGTGGAAATCCACAATAAATCAATTATATTAGTGGAAGCATAAATCATGGGGAATCTCTTTTCCAGAAAGATTCTTTGGTGGTGGAATCTTGTAATTGTTTATGTTTCTTGATTTGTTGCATCCTCTCGTGTCCTCCTCTAATTCCAAAAAGATTCTGATTTGAGTATCTAAAAAAACATATTTGCGTAGAATATTTTCAATTAAAATGGAATATTGTATGTGTGTAATAAGTTTATACGTTTTTTTCCACTAGCTCACTAAAGTCCATACGTTTTTTTGTCACCACTCACAAAAGTGTATACGCTATATATGTGTAGGGGGCAACTAGAATAGAATAAGTTAATAACACGTAAAGATCTTATGACATGCAAGATTCATTTCGGGTCGTATATCACAAATATGTACATGATTATAAATATATATAAATGTATCTAATAAAACAAAAGTATTATCTTGCCACATCAACGTCTTACAATTTGACGACAATAATTTTCATGCACGAGTATAGACTTATAGTCTAGTGCATGCTAGACCATTATTGTATTCATATTTTTTTATGTTTAAAAAGAAAAAAAAAAAAACTGTGAAACAATATGATCAAGAGGTTGCTTATTAGGTACTAAGTAATACGAAATGTCATATTTTAGTTTTTCATTAATATTTGATTAATCTGGATTTAAAATGAATAAAATGACATAGTGTGACACAATTAGATAAATTTTACGAGCTTATCTCTTTCATCCATGTAATATTATAATCCTGTGGCATCTTGATTTTAATTTTCCTATTTTTTGTTCTGATCTTTTTGGAATGAAAATAATATATTTATTCTGCTTGATTAGTCTACGGATTTCGTTTTCATTAATGAATATTCCATTATTCTGATCTAATTTATACACATGGAAGACATGTGCAATTTCTATAAACTTTTTTTATTATTATTGTGTCTGAAAACTTTTCTAAATGGACACATGATAGTATTCTGAATACTCAAATCAGGATCAATTATGGGTATCATCTTATTTGGTTATTCATATTCCTTATATAATTTCTCGTTTATTTAAAAAAAAAAAAAATCATTCTCATATTCCTTAACACATCAACACAAAGTGTCTACGTATCTCTCTATATAAATACACTTGCAATATAACATAAGCAAGAATCACATTTTTCCAACTGTTTTCATATTAGAGTCTCTGATCAAATAAACCCAAAATAAAAAAGAGAGAAGAGAGCCATGAATGCTTTAGCAGCAACCAACAGAAACTTCAAGCTAGCTTCTAGGCTTCTTGGTTTAGACTCAAAGCTCGAGAAAAGTCTTCTCATTCCCTTCAGAGAGATCAAGGTTCGATTGATTATTCCTCTGTTTTCTTCTTCCGATCCGTTTCAAGATCATTAAACCGGAACTAACCAAACATTGCAGGTGGAATGTACTATACCGAAAGATGATGGAACTCTTGCATCGTTTGTTGGATTCAGAGTTCAACACGACAATGCAAGAGGTCCCATGAAAGGTGGAATCAGATATCATCCAGAGGTTTGTTTTATTTACTCTGTTTTTTTCTACATCAAACCAAACCAAATTCAATATTGGCATGAACTAAACCAGATTTCGGTTATCGACAGGTCGAACCGGATGAAGTAAACGCTTTGGCTCAACTTATGACATGGAAAACAGCAGTGGCTAAGATACCTTACGGAGGAGCCAAAGGAGGAATCGGTTGTGACCCGAGCCAGCTAAGTATCTCAGAGCTGGAACGTTTGACTCGAGTTTTCACTCAGAAGATCCATGATCTCATCGGGATTCATACCGATGTTCCAGCTCCTGATATGGGAACCGGTCCTCAGGTTTTAAAAACATGATCTTGAAATCTCCTTCTTTTACTTTCCATTGGAGTTCTTATGTGTTGTTGTTGTTGTCTGAAATATAGTGATGAAATTTTTCAGACAATGGCTTGGATTCTTGATGAATACTCAAAATTCCATGGGCACTCGCCTGCTGTGGTGACCGGAAAACCCATTGTAAGTGACCGTTCTAATCACGATTTTAGGTCGGTTCGGTTTATGTGTTCAACCAATTTAATACTGAATGAGATGTGAGTTTTGAGCAGGATCTCGGTGGATCTCTTGGAAGAGATGCTGCTACAGGAAGAGGAGTGTTATTTGCAACAGAAGCTTTACTCAATGAACATGGAAAGAGCATATCTGGACAGCGATTCGCTATCCAGGTATAAGAAGTTCAAATTATTTACTCATAGAGATTACTTGTTTCTGTGTGTGAAGGCACTCACACTGTCTCTGTGTTTTAGGGTTTTGGAAATGTGGGTTCTTGGGCAGCGAGGTTGATAAGTGAAAAAGGTGGTAAGATTGTGGCGGTGAGTGATGTCACAGGAGCAATCAAGAACAAGAATGGAATTGATATCATGAGTTTGCTCGAGCATGCCGAAGAAAACAGAGGAATCAAAGGGTTTGATGGTGCTGATTCAACCGATCCTGATTCGATTCTTGTCGAAGATTGTGATATTCTTGTCCCTGCAGCTCTAGGCGGTGTCATCAACAGGTCTTTATAGCTTCTTATCTCATAAATTAATCTTTTCTCTTTCATGATTTTCTTATGAAACTCTCTCTCTTTGGTCTGTTTTTAGGCAAAATGCAAACGAAATCAAAGCGAAATTCATCATTGAAGGTGCTAATCACCCAACTGATCCTGAGGCTGATGAGGTTATTCGAAAATCTATTACTTTGTTTTTGCTATTTCTTCTTCTCAAACTCACGTAACAGAGACTATGTTTTATTATCTGTCTCCGCAGATCTTGAAGAAGAACGGTGTTGTAATCCTCCCAGATATATACGCAAACTCGGGAGGAGTCACTGTAAGTTACTTCGAGTGGGTTCAGGTAAGACTCTAAAATCAAGAATGTATGACCTAAGCTGAATCTGAAGCCAGTCGATCAAAACACTGATTCATGTAATATATGTGTGCAGAACATACAAGGATTCATGTGGGATGAGGAAAAGGTGAATAAGGAGCTAAAGTCCTACATGACTCGCGGGTTCAAAGACTTGAAAGAGATGTGTATGACTCACTCATGTGATCTTCGTATGGGAGCTTTCACTCTTGGTATTAACCGTGTCGCTCAAGCTACCATTATCAGAGGCTGGGGTTCTTGAAACCCCATGACAACTAAAGAACAAGAATTCAGAAAATCCTTCAATATTGTTGATTTGCTTTGCGATTTGAATCAATTTTCGAGTAATAAAAACTATGTGCTGATTGCAGTGTAACCTTCTCTAATTTTCTATCAAAGGAAGCTAATTTGATGCAAATTTTTTTACTCCATAGATTAAACAAAAGTCTTGAAAATTGAGAATCTGGGAAAACGATAGTCATTGATAAAACAAAGGGTACAAGTTTGGATAAGGCTTATAAAGTAGGAGAAGAATCTAAAATCTTCCTCGGCCTCTAAAGCTTCCACGAGAGCCACCGCGTGGTGGAAATCTACCACCTCTTGGAGCGCCTCTACCTCTAAAAGATCCACCTCTTCCACGACCTCTACCATCACCTCTTCCACGACCTGCACCTCCACGTCCACCCGTTGACTGACCCCTGGAAGAACAAAGACATACCGTTAAATGGAGTTTGCTACAATTAACAACTTTTAAACTAACACTGTATCTCAACTCTCGATTGTTAAGACGAAAAAAGCTAATTGCTAAGGTTAACCGTCTCTAGCTCACTAATGTTATTTCAAGTTCAGGATTTTGACCAATGATGTGTTAAGAAGTGGGGCTTACTTTGGCTGAGGAAGGAATCGAGAGAGAGGCAAAAGCTTGTAAGGGTCGATGAAGAACTTATCTCCTGGAGAATAGGAGGTGGCTACAATACCTTCCATCATTTTGATAGAAAACAACTGAAGAAGAAACAAAACAGAGTTAATTTCTGAAACCTCTAGTTTGCTTATAACTGGAAGAAGAACACAGAGATGGAGAACTTACAGATTCATTAATAGGGCCAAAGATTTCATCTACTTTCCCAATCTGAGTCTTGTTCTCTAGGTAGATGGCAGCATTAAAATGAGGAATCTTCTCATTTGAGAGTTTAGTCACAGCATCTCCCTCGCAAGCATGAAGGAAAGTTGCGACCTCTGTAACCAAAGAAAGAACCTCATCACAAACGAATCAAGAGGAAATGTCTTCACAAGCATATACTGAAACTAATAATAAACAAGACACACAAATCCGTCAAAAGCATCATACTTGTAAAATAGCTTAGTGGAGTGTTTTCTCTACATAGATTCCAACAAGACTAAGTTCAATCAAGGGTAATCAAAGTAGCATGATACGATTCGTCAATGAGAAATCAATGATAAAAGTTGAACTTTAGTTCTTGTACATTACTACTACACATTCAAGAATCAGCTCATTCATTTCAAAGCTCCGATTACAAATCCAACATCTTTAATAGTGTCTTTCAAAAATCAATGAAGAAGTAAAAGCTATGTCAAGTAAAGAAACGAACCCACGACTTCGCTAGGAGGACCTTCGTCTCTGAAACCACCAAAGCGACCGCCTCCACCACCAAAGCGTCCTCCTCCTCCACCGAATCTACCGCCACCTCCACCGAATCTACCGCCACCACCACCGTCTCGTCCTCCCCTTCCACGGAAACCCCCGCCGCCTCTCATCGGTGGTCTCATCTTTTCTCCTTTCTCAGATTCCTCAAAGACTGCGTTTTTTTCTTTCTCTCTGCCTCTCTTCAGTGGAGGGTTTTAGGGTTTAATTGAGAGCGACGACAACCAAATGGTACAAGACTGTGGGTATTTAGGGTTTTCTGTAATCGTTCGACCGGGTATGGTTATTTAAACCGGATATCAATCTAACATTGAACCAACTCTGTTCATCTCTGACCGTTATCAGTGCTACTTGAATGTTGTTGTTTTTGGAGATCCCTATTTTGGACGGTCTAGATCTGATCATGACTGTTTATACGCAAACCGGGCCGTCGATATGACATTAAAACCAATGGGCCTCATATATATTATTTTAGCCCAATAAATAACTCCGCGGTAAATGATAGAGAGAATTCAAATAGTAAAGAATAACTTTTGTTTTTCGATTACAAATTAAACACAAAGAAGCTAAACACAAATGAAGAGTTCGATGATAGAAGTTTGTTGCAGAATAATGTCAAGAACTCATTCAACGACCAAAGATGTTGTCCAAGCAGAAGTAGAGGAAGCAGAGAAGAGTAAGAAACAGCATTATTAGAGACCAAGGTGAGAGGACTACTTTCAAGGAAGGTCAAACAATTGTCATTGAGCAATGAGAAGTGGAGATGGTCACAAACAGAGAAACTCGTTGGAGTCTCCACAGTGGTGGATCAGCTGGGATGATACCAAGTAAAGCCGTCACGAAACCAAAGAGGAAGAGTAATTTGGTCAAATGTATCACGCTCTATAACTTTTTTGGCAGAGGAGATTTGGGGAAACTAAAGAGAAATAGTGTAAGAGGAAGAGAGGCGACCGCATTTTTATAACCACTAATTTTTACTGTGGTTGTTTTAGTTCTTCTACTACTCTAAACAGGTAAGATGTATCTGTTTCTCTTCATGACCTCACTTCATTGACTAGGTGACCACTCTGTTTACGCATTGAATAGCTCAAATAACCAGCTAACCACATATATTAACGCAACAGCTACAAGAATATATATGCTCCATGTTTCATTAGCAAACTGTCCGACCATAACATATTGATGTTATGAACATATTTTTCTCCCATTTGTCCTGAAAACAAAAGTGCAGAGCTAAAGTCAGTACAATAGAAAACAATAAAATGGATAAGAATCAAAAAGTTTATAAGTTTCATGTTTGAAATCCTAAGAATACACCTTGATATAGGAGCTAGGGAAGGAAGAAGTACGTAAAGTCTCTTGGATTTCATCGGTTATTTTTCGTTTGGGTATACTCAATATAAGAGCTGCTTGATCAGCTGTTGCAGCCATTGATGTTATCCTGTATCCACTCTCCAACCTTCGATTTATATCTTCACTTGGGTTCAAGAAGTCAAGCTCCATCACCTATATAGTATATAAACATCATCAATACATTATAGTCTAGATTATAGAGCATGCCTCCCAAAAAAGGAAAAAGGTAATAAAAATCTGAACCTGTTCAGAGAAGCCTGAGTTCCTGGACATTACTACACCCCAACCACTCCCAGCAGTGGTCATGGATGTTACATGAAAACCTTCTTTCCACTTTTTATCCATCCACTTTAATGGAATTGAGTGGCTGGTTTTGTATGATTGCTTGGTATAAAGAGTTCCTATAGAATTACATGAAGTTGAATTTTTTAAGTAAAAACCGGCTTGATGATGGCACAATGAATCAAATAAGTAAGACAAATACCAACCTTTTGACATAACGACCAACGAGCCCCCATTATTTGCACCAGCTATGGAACTGATATAGTAGTTCTTCTCCCATTGTTTCATAATCCAGTCCTGCCAAGAAAAAGATAAAACAACTGGTGAGCTGCTTCTATATATATATATAGTGGAGCATACATAGCCATATAAGTAATGGACATGATAGTACCTTGGGGAGGAAGGCTGAGATAACTGTATAAACTTGAGAAGTGAAACCAGTCCCTTTATCCACGACGAATGCCCATAGATTAGCTTCTGATGCTACACAGCTTATAAAAAGGCCATCATTGTTAGCTTTCTCTACATGATGGTGCAACCTTGAATTTGCTACGTTGTGATGAAATCTACAAGAGCAACAAACGCAAAACCTAAATTTTTTAAAACCTTGATACTCAAGAAAAGAGTGATGGATCTAAACATTCATTCAAACCTCTGTTTCATAGGAGGACGTTTGTTATAGACTGAAATCCATTGGAACGTAGGAGTACTTGCGATTTTTTCTATTTGTAAATCACTCAAATCCGAGCAAAGTCTACTTGTTGGGTCTTTCTCTTTCTCTCTGCATAATCAAAACATAAAAAATCGTGTTAATTTGTTTAATAATCTCGTGTTAACTAATACTAATTCATCCAGAATTACTTCTTCTCAGGGCATGAATCACGTCCGCCACCACCAGTTCTTCCGCTGCCCATCGGTGGTCTCATTTTTTCTACTTCCCTAATGATTCCACCTCCACAAAGCCTGCGTTTATCCTCTCTGTTTCTTCGGTAATCGAGAGGCTTTTTTTATTAGGGTTTTAATTGGGTATTATCCGAACCGGATTAGGTTTGTTTGAACCGGGAATTAGTCTAACATTTAACCAAACTGTTTGATTCTTCTTCTTCTTCTTCTTCTTTTTTTTTTTGTTGTTTTTAATACAAAAGCTGTTTGATTCTTCTTCTCAAGTAACCAAAGTGATTGAGTAACTGTTTTTTATTTAAAAATATTTTCCAGGTTACTATCACCAGAATAAACTCAGGAAGGAAACAAAGATTTCATTTCCTCTGTTTCTGGGAGATGGTGTTGGTGGTGATGATATGAATCGCTGAAGTAGCTAATCACATATACATTAAACAAATACAGCCATAAGTAATCCACAAGGACAACCTATGAGGGCAACATTCCATGAAAACATTGCTCCCTCTTCCTCTTATTGGTTGCTCGGTCTGTGGTGTACGTAGAACATGATACTTGGATTTGCATTCCACAGAGTTTGTTGTAAATTGTTTGGATCGTTCAATCTGTCTAGCTGAGGTCTTTAATTTCATGAAAATTCTACTAGTAAGCTTGTTGTTGCCCAACTCGAAAACATATAGCTCGCTGACAGAGCTTGTAAAGTTTGAGGGATTTTTCCAGAGAGATTGTTGTGTGAAAGGTCTAAAATCTCTAGCTTCTCAAGATTTCAAAAACTTTTGATTAAAACCAGTGCAATCATGTCTAATGGCCCATTCATCCTCTATCTTTGTGGGATATCAATCCGAAAATATAAGTCGAGATTGCCTAAAGAAGTTAATATCTCAAAAACTTTGTGGGATCCAATTGATGCATGTAAAATTAGAAAAAAGACTCCGTGTTTCATGATGGTGACAGCTGGGCAAATAACTCTTTACATGTTTAAAAGTTAACCACGGTAAAAGAAGAGATAACCATGTGGAAAAATATTTAAGGCCTAAAACAACATTTTGGGAAGTGATTTAACAACAATTTTTTTCATTTAATATCGCTGTTGTCGGAATGTCAAAGAACCTTAGAGTCAAATCTAGCTTTAGACCACTCTTCTCTTCTCCACAAGGACGAAAATGGCGGTTTTGTTTCAAATCCCTCACTTTATGCCACATGAAGCTCTCTTTCTCCATTTACTTGGTTGCCCAAATCCTCTTGACCTCACTCATTCCCTTCGTTACCGGAGCACACTCGAGTTACCGTACAGTTGAATAACGTACAAGTCATCAAAAGAAGGAATGGGATTGAATTGCGCCGTGATGAGGTATCTGTGTTCTGATTTTGTTTTGGTTTTGAAAGAGAATGACAAATTCAAGTTTCCTGGTGGAGCTGATCAGTACTTGGATCAGAAGATCTCAAAGGTTAATCGATTTCAATGAATCATTATTTGTATCTGTTTTCATTATTGAATCTCAAGTTACTGTGTTTTTGTGCTTGTATGTGTAGCTGATTCCTGTTATGTATCAGCTTTGTTGTTTGTTCTTGACATTGGATGTTGTGTGTTCGTCGGAGGGATCGACGATGAGGACAAGCGGTTAGTAGGTTTACATTGGTTTTGAAATTAAATTGATTTTGGTGCGGTTTATTTAATTGATTTTCGGTTCGGTTTAAACTGGTTTAGAGAAGAAAACAAAAAATATTCACGCGATGGAAAATTTGGAGAGAAGTGCGTCGATTGAAAAAGGCCCTTCAGGAATTGCTCTCACTCGCGCAACGCGCACTTTGTGCGAGTGGGTCTGAAATAGAGCCTTCTGATTGGCTGAAAAACTCTAAAAAAAGTGAAATAGTAGACATGTTGCTAGCTCTTCTCTTATATGTTATTATTATTATTTTTTTTTTTGTTAAAAAGTTTTTCGTCTTCTTCTCTCAATCTGATGAAACGAAAGTTGTTGTTTGTTTAGATACAATTGATTCTAGATACTTGAGATCTGATGGTAGTGATATTTTAGATACTTGAGATTTAGTATTTGATCTATAAAGATTTCATATTTGTTGATTTTTGATGACTTGAAGCTCTCTGCAGATGCAAAAGAGTCTGAATATGGATGGGACTGCGTTTGAATCATTACGGTGTCTCTGTTGATGTTTCCTGTGATGTATCTACAAGTAGGCCTAGTATTCAAAAAATGCAAGCTAGGATCATCTTTATGAGACTAGGCCACTCAATACAGAGAATAAATGAATGCACTTGGACATGGACATGTTACATCTGAACCACCTACTGCTTCTGCTGCAATGTCATCTTCAACTCTTCTCCTACCTTCAAAAGCTATTAGTAAGCCAAAACTGTCCCAAGGTTCAAGTATGTAGTGGATTAAAAACATAGGTTGTGAAGCATCTTGGCTCTGGAAAATGCATGCCTATTTCAGAATTTTTGTGAAGCACTTTTCAGAATTTAATCATCTTTGTAATATGATTGTATCTAATAGATTATTTCTTGGTTGTGGCAGTTTTCCTCGGTTCACTGTGAGTGGTGTCAGTGCAGTCATCTTGCTTGGCAGTTTGATTACTCTTGGCTACATCGACGAGGATGAAGAAAGGCACAACTTTGAACACAAAGGAGGTAAGGCCTGAAGCTTTTTTTGGCCTATTCATACAGCACAAAAATGAGAAAGTTATTTGAATATAAGATTCTGCGAGCCATCAATTGGTTGGTCTCACTTTTTTAAAAAACTGCTGCTTGCTTAAGAGTTTCTATTCATTTGCTGAGTTGGTTATCACCTGGTTAGGACGGAGATTTTGAGGTTTTGGCAAAAACCATAAACTTGGATATTATACTTGAGCAGCGTTTTCTTACTGGCATTCTGTATATGATTCTATTTCAGGGTTTCTCTGCCCATTCGTCCCATACCTTCCAGTTCTTTGCATATTGATCAACACCTACTTGATCATCAACATTGGGTGAGTTAGTCTGATGGACCCATGTATGATACCAGTATATTGGGATGTTTCTAAACCCTTGCTGGTAATTTGTAATGGCAGAGCTGGGACATGGATCAGGGTCTTGGTATGGCTACTTATTGGAAGCATGATCTATCTCTTCTATGGCCGATCTCACAGCTTACTGAACAATGCGGTTTACGTTCCAAGGACGACTTGTACCAGAAAAACAACAGATCATCTTGCTTAAGATTGGTGGTTCAATGCAGCAGCTGAAGGGAGTCGAGCTCAAGCTTTGTTGTTGCTGAAGTAGCATCGAAAGAGAATTAAACAGTTTGGCACAAGATTAAAATACATACAAGAACATTTCATGTACATTGTTTAGTCATTCAAAACGTATAATGTCATTTTTGTCCCAACGTACATTGGACTTTGAAGTAGTCCATTTAAAAACTCTCATGAATCATCATGGTACTAACATGAAAGAAGACAGTGTTGTGGTTAGTATACTATTGAGGATCGGATCATCAGCCTTATCGACTTAGGCAATGAGTTGAGACTTCCTTCACCTTAATTAAACTCAGCACATTCTCTCACAAAAAAAAAAAAAAAAAAAAAAAAAAAAAAAAAAAAGGAAACAAAGGCAAAGAAAGAAAAAGGAAATAACAGAAAAAAGGAAATATTTTATGTGACCGTTAATTAATTGTGATTAGCAATTTCCTTTTTCTTTTGAACCTCTTTGCTTATAAATAGATGAGACTCTATTTCTTCCTTGTGAGAGAAATCAAAACTCTCTGTTTCTCGCTTCTTCTTCTTCTTCTTTGAAATAAATTAGGTCGCTGCTAAGAGTTAGGGTGATCGGAGCCGGAAAGCATATATCATCGTGAATGATGATATCCTCTGTCATCTTCAGTCGCCCTAAATCCACCGGATAATGATCTAGCCACCGAGGTCGATGTCACAATTAGGGGTGGATGTCGTAAGTGGTGGATGATGTTGGAAACTGATCCTATTCTTAATCCTACTTGAGATGAGATCAAGACAAGAGTGGAGAAGATGAGAAGAGACTGCAACAAAAGAGAGGAGAGAGATCGTAACAAGAGAAGAAAGAAAAAAAGAAGATGTGTTTGTGTTTGTGTCGTAAGAGAAAGAAGATGCAGAAAGAACAAAAAGGCCAATGGGCCTTGGTGTTGAATTGAAGGCCCAAATATTAAACTGGTTATTCACATGGATGTCACCGAAGAACGATGGGCTCAAATCTGACTTTAGAATGGCTTTTTCGTATCGGGCCTTCTTTGCTACCAAATCCAACCAGGTATTCCTTTCTTCATTCTTATTTTTGTTTTTGTTTCCTTTTATTTTTCTTTAATATTAGTTTAAATATTTAATTAGTTTATAAAAATTAAGTGTTAGTTAAACTAAATCATTTTAAAATAATAATTTTTTCACTTAAACTATAAAAATTTTACTAAAATTTAAAACAAATTTAACACTTAAAACTTTTAACTAAAACTATGTTAATTTTACTATTATTTTTTAAAAGTTAGTTTAAGTGTTAAATTTTAAAAACGTCGAAAACTAACCGCGCCTAGGCATCCTGTCCTTAGTTGGTCCGTAAGCTTTGGTGTTCGAAGTTCGATAAGGGTAAAATGGTCATTAAAAATTAAAAGAGGGCAAACTTAAAAATGGACTCTCAAAGGGGGCATTTTTGAAAAGGGGTATTGAAAAAGGGGCATTTTTAACAATTTCTCTTTTTTAAAACTAAAACCATGGCAATTTCACTAAAACTTTTTAAAAATTAGTTTAAGTGTTAAATTTTAAACACGTCGAAAACTAACCGCGCCTAGGCATCCCGTCCTTAATTGGTCCGTAAGCTTTTGGTGTTCGAAGTTCGGCAATGTTTTCACGTAATATAGATTTAACACTTAAACTCATTTTTAAAAAATAATTGTGTTTTTGACTAAAATTTAAAACAAATTTAACACTTAAACTTAAGAAATAAGTTTTTTAAAACTAAAACCATGTCAATTTCACTAAGTTTAAGTGTTAAATTTTAAACACGTCGAAAACTAACTGCGCTTAGGCATCCTGTCCTTAGCTGGTCCGTAAGCTTTGGTGTTCGAAGTTCGGCAATATTTTCACGTAGTATAAATTTAACTTAAACTCATTTTTAAAAAATAATAGTGATTTTGACTAAAATTTAA